TCTGCCCAAAATGAACTATTGAGGAGTTTTCATGGGTTATTTAACTCTCTGACATTGGCTTCTCACGTTCTGAATTAAACGCCGAAAGGCTCACATGAGAGCACTCACACAGCCAGCACACCGGGCCCCACGTCACCATGAGCCTCAGCTCATCCAAAAGCCCTTTCCTCTGCTGTTCCACGTTCACAGTGATGGAAAGCAAACTCCCAGCACCTCCCACACTGCCCTGCCTGCACGGGATGTGCCCACACGGTACTGAAGGCAGCACCAGGCTGCCCAGTCCTGCCCTTCCGTCCCAGCAGAGGAGGAACAGCACAGGGAGCACCGTATTGGCTCTGTCCTTTGTGCCAGGAGCATACAGCCTTGGCACAGCCTGGGAGGAACTCAGATGAGCAAGAAGCTGCCATCGGCACGTGACCGCTTTTGGGAGTGCAAAACCATTTGTTAGAGGCTGGCAGTGGGGGAAAACCCAGAGCTGGGGTGAGAACAGATAGCAGGCTTAAAGAGTAACGAAGGTCACGCGGAAACCTCCCGGTTCATTGAGTTCAACTCCACTGCTGCTGTGTGGCACAGCCCTGGTGGGGCATGGGGCAATCCTCTCCAGCCTGCCTCCAGCTCCTGCGTGCTTGGGATCCCCCAAATGCCCAGACATTGCCTTGTACAGAGCAGTACCCAGCTCGGCCAGGCCCAAAATGCAACGGAGATCACAGTGCCAAGCACGTGGTTAGCCAAAACCTCCCGCTTTTACCTGTAATCACAGCCCCTGTTCAGCAAGACAGCACCAGAAAAACACGCTACCCCGTAATTATACCCATCTCAGCACATTTTGACAGACGAGTGAATCAAAGTTTATTGCATAATAAAAGTGTCATTAAGCAAGAACTTTCCTCTCGCTAGGTTTTCGTTCCCCTAGTTAACTTTAATAACACGGTACTCCCCTTTATTGTCTCTCCCTACAGACACACTCCTGCCCTCTCCTACTTGGAAGCGCTCTGTGCAGTTCTGCTCTCTCCCCATGAGGCTGCTGGCCCTGCTGCCAGCTCCCCAGCATGGGGCGGGTGCCGGAACACCACCAGCCATCAGCATGCAGCAAACCCCTACCCTATCCAGGTCCCGAGGCCCAGCTTACAGGATCAGAAACGTGCTCACACACTTCATCTTTCACTGCTTTTAGGACTCCTTCAGTGCACATCCAGCATCAAACAGCAAGAGGCACTTTTCTTGCAACCAGATGCGATCTCCAAAACAAAGGTCCCCGCGGCAGCGCTCCCCTCCCGGCACCTGCTCACCCCACGCCTGGCACCAGGCCATGCTGCCTGATTAACGTCTATCCATTAAGTCTGCATCTATGGAGAGCAGCGTGCAGCAACACACAGGATTGGCACTGGGCTGCAAAGAGGGCTGGAATGGTTTAAGGCAAGTGAGCCAAGCGCTTTGGGACATTCAGAGGCAAAAGAATCCAACTGCGCAGCTCCACCAGCACCTGGGAGCTCTGGAACGTGCCACCAGCATCCCTGGAACAGGTGCACTCCCCAAACAGGGCCGTCCCCACACAGCACTCGTTTCCATTTCAATTTTGCGCTTACAGCCCTCCTGGACCAGGAGGAGCAGCAGTGAGGCAGGCAGGACGCACAGCCGGCAACTCAGCAGCAGTGCAACGGGATGGGATTTTGGGCAGAGAACGGCGAGCACCAGTACTGCAAGGAGAAGTGCAGGCAGGGCGGTGCCATGCTCAGCACTTCTAGAGATGGCCTCAGCAAAGGCTCCGAATCAGCTCAGGATTGACAAGTGCCTGCGCCAGGGCTCAGCACCACCAAAGGATGGAGCTTTGGAGAGTGGTGCAGAACTGTGTCTGCTGCCATGCACACCTGGAACATCTGGTGAAGCATCCTCCTTGCTCCCATGCTGCCATCCCAGGGATCCAAACAGCTCCTGGTGCCCACATGGCACCACCTGACACCCCTCTCGCTTCCCCCCAACCCCTCAGCACCATGCAAGGAAGAAAGAAAGTGGCTTCTTACCCTTCTTTGCTGTTTCCATCTCCTCTTCAGTCCAGCGAGAGCTTTCATTCATCTCCAGAGAGGCTGAGAGAGGAAAGAGAGGAGAGCGGTCAGTGGGATGGGCTGAGCGAGCCCATGGGCACCACACCCCAAATCCACTCCATGGACACCCCGTTCTAAACCAAACCACACAGACATCTTGAACTGACGCGGTGGGCACCGCATCCCAAACCCACCCGCAGACGCCGTGCCCCCGGCCCTCTCGCAGGAGGTGCACCGCAGCCCATGTGCAGCACCCTCCCGGGATGCATCGCAGTGACGCACAGCTCCGCTTTGGTTTCTTTGGGGCTGGAAGCACAGCCAGATGGCTCGAGGGAGGCACCATATTTCCTGCTGAACGGGTGCCACGCTCTCTGGCCCGCCAACAACAGGTACCTAAGCTGGAGCCGACACCGGCTGCGTGCTTTGGAGGTGGCAGACGTGGGGTGGGACCATCACCCTCAGCAGAGACGGAGAAACAGCGTCACCCTGGTGACTCGGGCACGCCAACCGCATCTGCCAAGGGTGCCAGCCCTGCTGACAGTGGCTGCTGGGGACAGCAACCCCGTCACTGCGCTTTGGGACATCCCAGAGCCACGTCTGGGGGGGGACTGACCCAGGGATGTGCAGTAGCAGAGGGCAACAGGGAGAGCAGGGGATGGCTGTCACCACTCCACTCCCGGTGTGGGGACCCTGGGGTCCTGTGTGCAGCACTGCACACCCGTCCCACTGGCAGCCTGGCACGAGAGCAAACCCTACAATAACAAGCCAGGCTGTGAGTCAGAGGCAAAAAAACAACGCGGTAAGGAAACAGATTTCCGGTTCGGGCTGCCAATGGGTTATTACTCTAAACAACAGGCGAAGCATTATTTCAACAGTGATGAGAGATGTTTTGACAGTGTCCTTTTAGAATGGAAAACAGGCCGATAGGTTAGGCTGGAGGATACAGACAAGGAAGGGAGCACCTTCCAGGGTCTGAACCCAGCAGGAGGACGCATCAGTGCCTGAATGGAGGGATTCCCTCCCCAAGCTATGGGGCACAGCTGCAGGTGCCACCCGAGCATGGAACTTCCTCCAGCTCCATAGCACAGGGAAATGGAGACCTCCCAGCTATGCCCTCCCTGGGCACAGGTGGGGCTGCATCTCTCACTTCCTTGAAGCCGAATGTCCCCAGTGCTCTCTCATTTACCTGAAGCCGTGTGTCACAAGCTCAGCTCTGAGATGACTGTTACTGCACGGCAAGGAACCGTCAGAGCGATGGCCCATTTGCTTTGATTAACGATATTTACTGAGGTTGCGCAGTTATGTAACAGATGCCTACTGGGAGCTCCGGCACGCTGCAGTTAAACCACAGTATGGTTTTGTGTTGTTTTTTAATGTTCAATCAGTATTTAAAACGCAATAACTTCCTTCGCCAACCTAAATTAAAGCACGATTGGAGACAAAAAGAGTAACCAGTCGCTCAGATCTGCCGCTGAAATCCATCCATTTCCTTTTCCCAATCTAACAGGGTCGGAAGCCTTTCCTCCCCGCTCACACAGCTCTGGGATACCAGGATGAAAAATCCCATCTGAGTTACTGGCATTATCTGCTGCTTCTCTGCAGCACTGCTGAACAAGTTCGAGATGGAGCACAGGGCTCCACTGTGCATGGAACTATTTATATCAGCGGTACGAGAGCAGCGCCCGCCATCAGGCTTCAGCCAGTTGTCAGCAGAGAACAGGGAGCGAAACACCTCCGGGTGATTTATAGCACATGGAACAGAGCGAGCAAGGAACTGTGGGGAAAGGAAACCGAGAGGAGTCACCCTGCTTTATTTTCACTTGCCTTAGGTGCTGCGGTCATAATTTTGTACTTGACGGAGTACAAAACATTGGAAAATCAGCCAAATTCCTTCATTTATTTGCTGCTCTAAGTCAGTTTCCATGGGTAACCACTATCAGGGCTGCAAACGCCAGAGGCAGACGCACACGAATGGGGCTATGGATGCTACTGTGAATTCCTGCCTAACCCGAGCGGCCCTCGGATGGGGCAGAAGAGCACTGGGGACAAACACGGGGAGATCAGGGAAACGAGCAGGGAAATGCTGCCCTGAGCGCAACGCCGGGCTGCACGGCACGGCTGCAGCCAGGGTGCTGGCTCCTAACGCACACCAGTGCTGGTCAGCACAGCACACCGCGTGCTCCCCACTCCCCATGCCCACAGCTACGCACCCAGCTCAGCGCTCTGCTGCGGCGTGGCCGCCTCCTCGCTGTTGGCTTCGTTGGCCATGGAGCGGGTGATGCGGCCCTTGCGCCGGCCCTGGCTGTTGGCTGTTTTGCGGCCTTTGGAGGCAACGGTTTCCTTCTCATCGTTGTCTTCCCCGGACGTGTCGTCGTTCTTGTCCCTGCAAAACCAGGGAGAGAAGAAATCACCGTTGGGCCGGCATCAGTTTTAGGTCAAACAACTGCCTCCCTGCACGTGCTTGAGGTGCTTTTGGAGGGGCGGGTCAGCATTTTTTGCACACGCAGACCCTCTTCCTGCCTAATTTGGGGTTGTTGGTGGGGGGGTCGTTCTGCAGCTGGCTGCAGCTCCACCACCGCATGCACGCAGGGACCTGACAGAGACAGGTTTAATACCAGGCCATTCAAATTCATCACTGCCTCCTCCTCATTTATCTTCCTGAAAAGGACCTGCTGGTAAATGTCTCAGCAGCCTGGATATAATGAAGCCAGATGTTCCTTTAAAGCAAGCATTAAGCCCATTACAGAGCACTAGCAGCCCGCGTGCCAGCCTCTCCCCGCCGCAGCTCCGGCGCTCCCTGTTAGTTATGACTGTGTCAGACAGCGGGGCGGGTGCAGCCATAAAACCGCTCCCATCCCTCACTCTGGAAGCTCTCACGTTGACATCAATAACACTAAAGGTGAAGTGCCGCACTCGGCTGCGCTCAGCCAGCTCCAGCAGCGCGGGGAGGCTCTCACAACAGCAAAACAAGCCCGGGGAACAGGGCGGCTTTGCGGGTTGAGCAGGTTTAAAAATAAAAGTACATCAGAGAGATGTTTGGGAGCAGCAGGGATGAGAACGAACAGGAGGGCAGGCGCTCCCCTTCCTTCCCTCCTTGCAGAGGAGGAGGTGAGCACACGCAGTCCCATATGGCGGCAGGCAGCCCTGGACCGCATCCCGTCCTGCATCCTACTGCTGCATCCCACCCCGCGTCCCACCTCACCTCCCACCGCTGCATCCCGTCCCACACTCCATCCCACATCCCAGCACTGCTGGGAAGGAATCAGGAGCTCCCACATTCTGGGGTCTGTAGGCAGGAGGGACCTTGGGAAGGTTTCGCTTACTTTGTCAGTTCTTCTTTGTCATTTTCTGTTTCCTGTTTGTCTTCCTCCTTGTCTCCCTCCTTCTCCTTTTCCTTCTCTTTTTCATCTTTCTCTTCTTGGCTGCTCCGGGGCATTTGCTGCTGCTGCTGCAAAACAAGGCACATAAAACAACAAACTTTCAGTGCAGGGCCAGAAAAACAGCAGCACCTGGGCCAACCCAAACAACCACAACCGAACTACACCGGGGGGCAATGGCCAGGAGGAAAACGTGCTGCGGGGTGCCCATCTGCAGCAGGACTGAAAGTATTACGGGGGCATTAAGGGGCTGTGGGATCAGCCGTGGCCATGCCATGCTCTGGCTCCCATGGAAGACAGTGCAGCAGCCTTGCTGTGCCCTTTGGGAGGGGCTGAGCAAAGCCCAGGGGCTGAGCACATGGTGACACCAGGGAGGGACGCGGTGGTTGTGGTGTTCCCGGATTTTGTTTCTACAGCTGCAGGAAGGAGGATGCTGGGGAGGCCCGGTTCCCCGACCTCCCTTCCCCCTGGTGACCAGCAAATGAGAGGAATTTCAGAGAAAAGGAAAATTAGAGGCGGAAATGATTTATTCAGCCGTCCTGCTCCCAGCTAATGCAGCCAGCAACACCAGGATTGGGTTGGGATTGAGGCCTTAAAGGATCAAACCCAGCAGGTGGTCCAGCACCGGTGTCAGACCAGTAAGCCAGTCCCAAACTCCGCAGAGAAGCAGCGGGCGCTTGGCGGGAGCCTGGCTGTGAGTTGGAGTCCAGCTGCAGAGAAGCAAGGGGCACGGCACGGCACTCACTACCCTGAACTCCCTGACCCCCTGAGTCACACTGCAGGCAGCAGTGAACCTCACATGGGTTCAGCCCCAGGAGGAGCTGCAGGTGACAGCAGAGACCTGCCCAGAGCTGGGCTTCGTGGGAGCATGAGGAGCAGGCTGTGTTCCAGCCATCGTCTCCCATGCCTCTGCCCTTCCCCATGTGCTGCAGGAGGGGAGGGGTGTCCAGGTTAGTTCTGTAGCCCTCCCACCCCTTCTTCCAGAGTGTTTTGTTTTGGAGAGGAGGGCCAGCAGACTCCAGGCTTGCCTCTGTGGATGTCTTAAGCCGAGGTGGTGGGACACCAACTAGCGCTTCTCCCACTGCAGAGAGCATCTTAATCCAAGGATGCCCTCTAGTGCTTGCCCTGTTCCAGCTGGGGTATGGTGCCCAATGACAGGACTGTGTGGGGACAGAAACACCAGAGGCCACCCAGCCCCAGTGCTGCATCCCCAAAGCTCAGCCCCAAAGCCACTGGGGCCGACACTGGGCACAGGGAGGTGACAGCTGGGAGCCAGCCCCTTGCCCCAAGGCGGCCGTCCTCAGGCTGCCCATGGTGCACAGCGCCTATTCTTAGCCCTGGCTGTGGCCCAGCTCGGGATGATTCAAGGGATGGGACGCCATCCCAAAGCGTGACGGGCCAGGAAATGCTTCCCCAATTACCAGCCCATGCTGCCTTCTGATTCATGCTGCCCCACTTTGAGGCGGGCCGGCAGGTGGGTTGGCCACAGGATGAGCTGCGGGCCAGCAACAAAACTGCTCGATGGAGCCTCCCCTTCAAGCACAGCCCCATGGCCCCAGGCAGAGGCACCTAGGTGGCAAAGGGACACACTCAAAGCCAAGGAAGGAGCCGGTGGCAGTGAGTAGGGCCATCCCTTCCATCCCTCCCTCCCAGGCCAAGCGTTCTTGTTGCCGCCCGCCCTTCCTCCCCAGCATCGCGCTGTTTGGTTTTGCTGCCAACACATCCTGTTTATTTAAAAAGGCCCCGGGACAAATCGCATGCTGTACGTGCAAGCGAGAGCCCAATCCCACTCCGAACCCGCAGAGCCACGCGGCCTCCTTCACTGCTGCTCCATAATGCCAAACATCTGCTCACCTCCGACCCCAGAGCAGTGGGAGGAGCAGAGCGGTGCCAGCCCCCCTGGAAGCCCCCACGCAGCCCCACCGATCCACCCCACGCAGCGCAGTGACACAAGGACGGCTGCCCATATCGTCCCGCCCTGCCTGCCTGGCACATCGCATCCAGGGGACACCCGCTTCCAGGTAGGTCCCAGACACCGAAGCTGAGAATGGACCAACTCGCAGCACTGCTCGCCGCCCCCCGGGCTGCAGCGCCCTGGCTCTGGCTGGGAACAAGCAGCAGCAAGGGAGAGATGCGGCTCCTCCCATTCTGCTTCCTCCCTCGGTGGGAGGATGTGGGACGCCGCTCCCCACCTTCACCCTCCCCAGCCCCACAGCACTGTGACGGAGCCATATGGATCCAGCCAGGAACGCCGTGCCGCCGTCAGCCCCATCGCACCCCAGCCCCCAGCACTCACCTCCCCGGCACCCGGCTCACGCTCACGGCCGCTCCCCGCCAGCCCCACCGCCGGCCGCGGGCCCCTGCTCAGCGCCCAGCCATCCGGGCTCGCTGTGCCTTACGTTCTCCAGCTCCGAAGGCTTCCTGACGATTTGCATAGTTAAGCCGTAAACTAACCACAACATTCCTCTTATGATTTTGCAATCTGCTGGAATAACGTGGTCGCTCTAAGTCGAGTCGATGAATCATCATCTATAAACCACAGCTCTCGTCACCAGGGCTCTCAGCGCTGGCTGCAGCCGGCGTGATTAATCCGCGAGGATGCCAAGCTTTAACCTACAGCGCAGGGCTATTTATTTTCCAAACTCCCAAACCTCCAGAGAACCACTGCTCCTGCCTTCCCCGTCCCCTCCATGGTGACACACGCACACCGGGCTGCAGCAGGCGAGCGGAGCCATGCGGACACCTCACTGCCCACAGCACAGCCCAGAACTCTCCGCTGGGCCCGGCCCCGTGCCCAGGGCACCGCTCTCCTCTGACGCCATGGGGGTCCTTGAGGACATCCACCCTGAGTCCCGTCCTGCTGGGATGGTGACAGGGATGGGAGAGTTTTCAGAGGAACTCTTGCCTCAGCACTGGATTTCCTGCTCATGGGATGCCACTTGGCAGCTGGATCACATCACCTCTATCACCACCATCACCACGCCCTGGGCTCCTACTGAAGGCAACAACTGGCACAGGCTGCCAAGGGAGGCTGGGGGGTTCACCATCCCTCGAGGTGTTCCAGAACCATGTAGATGTGGCACTGATGAATGTGCTCAGCAGGCACGGTGGGGGTGGGCTGGGGATGAACTTGGGGATCTTTTCCAACCTTAATGATTCTATGAAAAACCACCACATCTCACCTGCTCCTCCAGCTGAAAGGAGTGAGCCCGCACCCTACACTGCCTAGCACACTGAAAGCTGGACACACCAGTCCCTTACCTACAAGCATACCCCAGGCATCACAGCCACGAGCTCTGCACTGTTCACTCAGCATGTTCCCAGCCGTGACCACGGCTCTCCCCAGTCATGTCACTACGAACTCTCCCTCCCCACTGCAGACCCCCGGCTGTGCCTCTGCCATGCTTGGGGCACTGCTGACTCCTTTCTCCCATGGGTGACTTCAGATTCGTGGCATTTACAACGTTCTCCAGGGGAGCCGGGGCCGAGGTCACCACACGCAATCAGAGAGCTGCAAATTAAAACCAGCTCAAGATAAGGCGAAGGCAGAAGGCCCTGGAATGCCTGGGGCTGGCTTACCATGTGCATCCTTCCACCCGCTTTCATGCTGGATGCAGAGCACAGGCAGGAGGGGTTATGAATACATACAGACGTATCACAAATACGTATATATGTATCACGTAAGCGGCTCCAGAGCCTGAAGCCTCTGATGCGCTGGTCTGGAACGCCTCAGCCCCTGCTGCCACCCACTGCCACACAGCCAGGCTTCTCACGGCCACACATAGCACCCTCTGCTCCTGGGAGAAACCACAAATCCAAACAAGCCGCTGCCAAAACAAGGAGGGGAAGAGGAATGTCTGCTGGCTGCACCACTTTGATCGCTCACGGCCCAGCGCTGGGTTGGATTTGTTGGCTGGGGAAGTGAATAAGAAATGGGAGGACAGGCTCACATCTGATAAGGGAAATGGTAGGGAGCTCAGTGGGGAGCACACAGCTGCCCCAGGACCGCACTGCTTCTCCACTGGTTAACCACAGGACACTGGGGCACAGTGACCATGGAGGAGTGCAGCTGGCAGGTCCTTGGCACCACGGTGATGGACTGACGGCTGGACACAATGACCTTATAGGTCTTTTCCAACCACAAGGATTCCATGGTTCTATGGCTGGGAGCCTCTTGGCACAGCCAAGCCCAGTGGGCACTGATACGTGGGGTCTGGTGAACGCCCTCCTATGGCACAGTGATCTCACCCAAGCACGGAAGCAATTGAACAGGATCCTGCTCACGCAATCCCTCCTTAACATCACCGAGGGCTTTTCCATAAGTGGAAATGTTTCTTTTCTGGGTCACTGCTGAGTTTTTTGAGAAGTGATTTGACTGCTTGCAAAGGGAAAATGACCCGAGGGGATGAATGCACAGCATTTGGAAGTGGCAGAGAGGAGCCCCACTTGCTCCCAGGCGGGGAACACGTGTTTCCTCCTCTCTGTGGTCTGCATGCCATGCTCTGCCCCACTGCCAGGCTCCGCTTCCTGGCTGCGCAGTGACCCCCCCCCTTGGCTCCCTAAATCAGGGGATGGGGCTCACAGCTCCCAGTCAAAAACTGTAATTAAAACAGCTCATCCCAAATCCTTTCCTACCCAAGCCCCACCAGGAGGATGCCAGCCCCCTGCAGAGCAGTGGCCCCAACCCCATCACTGCACACATGAGCATGGGACACTTGCCCCAGGCCGCATCAACCTGCTGCTGCAGGAACACTGGTCTGAGCATGCAGTGAGCCGGGGGGGTCACATCACTGTTACATGACTTAAATTACCACCAAGATGTAATTAAGATCAGCAGCTGGCATTCCATGCTGGTGCCACCACAAAGGAGAGTGGCCACATCCCACCAGCCAGTGCCAATCCCAAATTCTCACTGCTGTCCTTGTGTGGCAGCTGTGGGGACCTGAGTAGCAATCTTCCCACAGCAACGCATCCTTCGGTTTTCCCAAATATGGCCAACAGAGTTCTCATATAATCACCCCCAAAACTGCAGCTGGGATTTCAGGAATGTAAGTTTCCACTGTGTTCGCCCACTGAGCTGTCTGGAGGGTGGCAGGGCTAAGGGAAAGCTGTGATGGGGCTGCACCGGGCGTACAGTGCACCTCACGGGGCATCACCAGGGATGGGGCTTGGGAGCAAAGGGAACACGGACAGGAAGAGCCTCTACTACCACTCCTGGGACAGCCCAGCAGCAGACTGACTGCATTTCTTGTGCTGGAGGGGGGTCAGGTTGAATATTAAGAAAAAATAATGTTCAGAAAGAGCAGTAATGCATTGGCATTGGCTGTCCAGGGAGGTGGCGGGATCACCATCTCCAGAGGTGTTCAGGAACCACGGGGATGTGGCAATGAGGGACGTGGTTGGTGGGCATAGTGGGGGTGGGCTGGAGTTTTACTTGGTGATCTTAGAGGTCTTTTGCAACTTCAGTGATTCTATGACACCCCCAAGAGGACACAGCAGGACTCCAGCCACCTCCCAGCCTGCACACCAGAATGTGGTGCCCACAACAGGTTCAGTGTTTCATGGGGACTCCTCCAGCTGCCTTGGCCACCAGTGGTGCTGTCAGACTGCAAACCCGCATGGAAAACTGAGCCAGACCCATCCACTCCAAAAACCCCAAATGGAGAAGATCTGGGGAGCTGTTTCAGGACAGATGTCATTCCCGAAGAGTTCTGAGAGCTCAGCACGGCCCAGTGCTGGTTTTGCCATGCCTGCTGCTGATTTATTCCGGAATGGGAACGGTGCTCCCCACAAGGGATAATTACACAGACAAAGTCCCTCTTCCCCCAGCACGGATCTGCACAGCACTCACGCTGCTACAGCCGGGCTGAACAGCTTGCCCAACAGCCCTGCTCATGGCAGCAATTGCCAGCTTCAGGCCCGGTGTGCTGGTACAGAATCGGGGCTGTCAGCAGTGAGATGTGCTCAGAAACCCCCTGCAGAGCAACTGCAGAGCCCCCTGGGAAACACACCTGCACAGCTTTTGTGACACCATCACCAAATTTATGCTTATAACCATACACCAAGCACTGGATCAGAGCATTATACCACAATTCAAACTTTTTTTTTCCCCAGTGCGAAATTACACACTTGGAAGTTATTCCTTTTAGCACTGATTCCCTCCTCTCAGGGTTAAATGAGGATTATTTTTGGAAGTGTTTGCATCTCAGGAAGCTGAACGTTGAGCACAATGATGCCTTGGATGTGTGCCCCTTCCATTCAGTGCCCGTGGGGCCGTGCCTCGCACCGGCAGCCCGTGTGTTTGGTGACAAACTGGAAGCAGAGCTGTGTGAAGTCCCCACTCTTGGCAGGAGGTTTTTAGCAGCAAGGAGCAGCTTTATTAGGAATAGCCTTTGCCAGGGGACCATCAGCCAGGGAATGAAGGGATTCTTGTTTTTTTTTAATGTTTTTAATAAGTAGGCCACAATAATTATCTTGACACTAGAGGAGCATTATTTCTACTGGTAATTATCTCTCCTTTTCTCGTAAGCCCCCCACAGCCTTCAGAAGCAAATAAGACTGCCAACCTCTCCATGAGAAACGGCACAGAGCAACAGTGCAGGGCTGCTGGAAACACGACCGTATCTGACCTCACCGCTCCTCTCATCCGATGAAATGCCCATCTCCCCTCCCCAGCAATAAATCAATTACATCTCACCTCTGGCATTTAACCACTTCAGCCCTCACAGCACCACAGAATCGCTAAGGTTGCAAAAGACCTCTAAGATCACACGGAGGGTGGTGACACACTGGAATAGGTTGCCCAAGGAGGCTGTGGATGCCCCATCTCTGGAGGCATTCAAGGCCAGGCTGGATGTGGCTCTGGGCAGCCTGGTCTGCTGGTTGGCGACTCTGCACATCGCAGGGGGGTGGAACTGGATGGTCTTTGTGGTCCTTTTTAACCCAGGCCATTCTATGATTCTACAATCACCAAGTCAGCTCACCCCCACCGTGCCCACTGACCATGTCCCTCAGTGCCACATTCCTACAGTTCATGTCCCACCACGCTCATGCTCCCAAGCCATCCTGACCTCTCTGGCCCCAGCAGCCCAACGTTCTCATACCCTGTGCTGGATCACACTCAAGATAAAGAGCAATCACCCCTGCAGCCAGGGACACCTTGGGATGGTTTCAAACACCAAAGCAGGAACAGTACCTGCTGGTGTAGCACAACAAGTCAGTGGCCACAGGACACAGACCCTGCAGATCGCCTCTCCCCCTTCACACTTGTTCCTTGCTCAGCTTAACATTGAAAGCAGAAGGAGCTGTGCTAAACGTCTCCACTGCTAACAAGAAACAAATGTGGCCTCATGTTCTAGTTGCTGTGATCTAACAAAACAGACCCTGGTAAACACTATAAAAATGTACTGGAGGGAACCACCCTGGGTTTGCTGGGAGAGGGACTGGATAATCTAATAGGGTTTTATCCATCACTAATGTCTCTGAAAAAAAAGAAGGGAAAATTGGGCCCCGTCCATGACATTCGTCATGTGCTAACTATTCTGATGTCTTAATGCTGCAGAAATCAAACTGGAGCAAGGCTACCTATCTGTCTCCCAATCAGGATCTAGACCCAAGTGCTGCTTTTTATGGCCATGCAGCACAAGGAGCTGTTTATGTCATGGGACAGGACAGTTTTTCCATTCCTATTCCCATGTTATCCAGAGAGATGCCCTGTGACACCCCCTCATTAGGTGGACAGTGGCTCACTTCACCCAGCTGGGGTAGCCTGACTGTGCTGAGTTTCACACCTAGGCCGTGGGACCGCACAGGTTCATCCAGTCAGCCCCACGCAACTCCTGACGCGTGGTCACCATTTGCTACAACCCCTTTTTCCAGCATCTTGGGTTTGCTTTTTCAAGCCACTGTGACCTTGGCACGAGGACAGACAAACATCAACTGCCAGAGCACAAACAACTGCCAGAAAACAGCACGTTCTGAAAGAGCAAATAATCACAGCCCACTGCAGCTCACAACCATGATCTCCATTTGCAGGGGGAAGGAGCACTGGGGATGCTCAGCCCCAGGCTGGCACTAAGAACACGTGTCACCACGCCTCCTGAGGGACAAGGTTTCCATGCACTCCCCTGCCCTTACCTGGCTTTTCCCACGCCGCCGGTAGTTCCTCCTCACGAGATTCTTGTAGTTCTCATTCTTCTTGGTCAGGTAGTAGTACAGGACGCAGTCTGCCACCGTCTGCAATGACACGGGCAGGTCAGGGAGAGGAAGGCTTTCAGCAGCAGCATTCAGCCCCTGCCATCGCCAGATCCAATGCTTCTGAAGGGCCGCAGCCAGAGCAGCTTCCCTGCGTCACAGCAGCGCTCTGCCCGCCGGCTGAGGGGGACGAGGGACATCGCCCTGCGCTTCCGAGGGACAAAACGGGGCCTTCCCACAGGAGTGCGAGACGGGGCTGCAGAACAACGAGCGCCCTGTGCTTGGAGCAGAGCGCGGGGCCGGCCCGGGGCAGGGGGCAGGGCTGACCCCAGATGACTGTGGCAACTAAAAGCAGAACAAGGAGAGCTGCCTGTCACCCTCTGTTGCGGCGGTGCTACGCACAACCTGCCACGCGGCTGTCAGCAGGCGTTACTTCCAGCCGCTGAGCTGAGCCCGCTGCCGAGTTGCTCCGAGCACATCAAGCTGCAGCTCCCGTGGCTCTGGCTGAGTGCTGGGCTGGGCGCACTGGGGAACTGCTATGGCTGGGATGCAGCCCCGCTCCTGCCCACGAGTCCTGACCCTCACAGCGTGGGCACCTGAACTACATCCCCATGGAGGGGCTCAGCAGTTGTGTTAACAGGACCAACCTGCAGACCCCCACATCCCTCAGTGCCCGGGCACAGGGCTGCACTCTCCCCACCCTTACACAGAGCAGAACCATTTGCAGCAACAGATTGTAACTTTTAAAGTGTTAATTGGATGCCTTTCTAATCTAGCCCTGATTATACACACACACACGAACACAAAAACTTACAGTCATCTGTTCCAAGGGCTAAGATCACTATTTTTTTTTTTTTAATGCAATTTAAAAATCTATTAATTCATTACATTGAGCCATACTTTGCATCTCTCTCCAATTGGATAATAGATGTGTTCTGTATCATAATTACAGCCTGATTTACAAACGAGTACAAATAAAATTAGAAGACATTTTACAGCTTGGAACACAGGCTGGATTGTGAGCCTCATCCAAGTCCCAACACTTTCAGCGTTAACAAGTGAGAAAGGCTGAAACGAGCCTGGTGCCTCACAGCATGCCCAGCATCACGAGGCTGCTGCCGCAGTGCTGCTTTGGACAGTAAAGTTGAGCTCTTACAAACCATCTCCCCAGGCAGAGACATGCACGGTGAGAGTGATTTAAGCTGGAAGGGACCTCTGAGCCCAATCCCCTGAAAGCAAAGGGTTTCCCTGCCTGAACAGATACTGTATGGATGAAATGTGGCATGAGATAGGCAAAGGAGCTGACTACAAGGACTAGAGAAGCTACAGCTGTTTCTTGCTCAGGAGACCACCTGGTCCACTTCCACCCTCCCAGACTGGGTCCACCCAGGACTTGCCCATATGGCCTGTCCCACAGGAGGCACGTGACCTTGCTCAGAACAGGACCAGACCGTAAAATCAAGGAGAGAGAGCACAAGGCAGGCTGCAGCCACACAGAAAGCTTACCTTCCTGTCCAGAAAGGAGGCAATCAGGCCAAAGTTCTTAGGGTGCTGCATGAACCTGTGGGAGCAGAAGGACAGGGTGAGTGCAGGCACCAACTCTGACTCAGGTGCTGGCTGGGTGGGAGGCCAGCTCCCTGAAGGACCTGTTGATTTGGGAACATACTTGGTGCTGCTCAGCATCTCAGGAAGTTGAGAAACTGATATTTAGCCTAACAGTGGAGCTGGGGCTCTGATAGGCTCATGTTCACCACAGGATGGCAGAGAGCAGGGGGATCAAAAGTGCCCAAAAGCTGTCTGTGCTCGACCCCATGGCCACCAAAACATGCCCCAAGGACAGGATGGGCCCTGAGTGGGAGGACAGGAATGGAATGTGGGCAGAACATAGTGAGCAGCTCAAACAAAGTCACTGCTGGGGCACTAAGCTGGACTGATTCCAGCATGGAATGGGGGTTGTGGGTGATGGTGTGAGGTTTGGGGCACGAGGGGAAATGGAGGACAGCAACGAGAGCACAATGCTCGGGCAGTTAACAGAGTGCAGTCTCTACCCCAAGAAAGGCTGCAGCCTTTCTTCCTTCAAGTGTTCCAAAGGGCAAAACTTATCCAAATATAACACAGACACCCAAGGGAGATCTCCCAAGACATGTGAGTGAATAAATAAGAGGGTAACAAAGGAGACATCAGTAATGCTAAGCATACAAATTGCAATAACTTTTTTTTTTCTTTCTTTTTTTTACAAGCAGCTGGGCTGTGGAATCACATCAGAGATCTCATGTGATGTGCTGTACATGGCAAGAACCAGAGGGCTGATCAAAGCAGGGGGTTTTCAAGACCATGTTATCAATTGCTCTGAGCCACCTGGGAGCTGCGATCCTTTGGCCTTGCTTATAGCTCCTGAGTGCCCATCTCCTTCAATTAGTTCTGTGAGAAATTCTTCTCTATTTATGCCTTGAGCTCCCATCACCCACAGTAATGACAGAGAAACCACCGTGCACAGCAGGATGCATGAGCTGGGTGTGGGTTCTCCCAGCCCCATTAGCCAGGCATGGCCCCTCCATTAAAGACCGAGTAATTAGCCTTTGCGTCATTTGTGTGCAAGCCTGGGCTGTTTGGAGTGGTGCACTTTAAGGTTAATTAGCAGTGAGGGCTCTCCTCTACAATAGGCTTGGAATTGGTTTGCTTATTTGCTCTTTTTTGGTCCATCTTGGCAATTCCTTACTTCAGCTGCAAGCAGGAGCTGTTGTGAGCAGGAGAGGGAAGGGGAGGTCCTGGCACTGAGCGTGAGCACTGCCCTTGTTCACACGGAGGGATCCCTGGGCGCCGTGCAGGTGAGCACCTGAACTACACACCATCACCGAGACCTTGTGATTCTGCAACCATCACACAGCACCCCAGCTCAGCAGGCTGCACTGCACAGGTCATATCTCACAACTCCCAGGGGCTCTACTGAGAGATGTGGCTGCACTCACTTTTCCCGGAAGGTCTCCTTCTCCTGCTCGCTCCACATGTTCATCACCTGCCGGTCCTTGTAGACCTTCATGGGGTCGTCCATGAGGCCGTTCATGTTGATGAATTTAATGCGCTGCTGGTCAGCATCGTAGAGCATGGGTGGGATGACGGCGAGCTGGCGCATCTGCTTCTCCAGGTTCTGCAGGGAAAGCAGAGAGAACAGTTGGTCAGCAGCACGGGCCCGAGGGGACCCACGGGGACAGATGTTCGAGAGGAAAGGACAGGTGGAGGAACAGGAGAATTGAAAAGCAAGCACTAGGCAGCTTTATTGCTAAGGTAATTGTAAACGAAATGCTGAAAGAGGCTATCGCCATCAGCTAGGAAGCAATTAATCTTACACTGTGAAATAAAAGGCTTTAAGATACCGCGTGGAAATGCCTGACTTAAGGAAAACAGCTCCTGCCCACAACGGGAGAGGAATCAAAGCGGCAGAGGCACAGGGAGCAGCCCTCCTACCCAGGGCCATGTGAGGCCCAATCCCCTCTAACTGCCAGCATCATGCTGAAAGCTTTCTGGAAGGGGGGCAAGGACACTGCCCATGTAGCACCTGGCTGCTCTGAACACCCCGGGGGGTGTTATCTCATCATGGGAGGACAGAGGCACAGCTCAGGGCCAAAACACTGACTCTGACGAATGCAGAAAGCCCTGGCTGAAAGCTGATGTTCTCGGCCATGGCTGGGAGACGGAGGCTCTTCCCTCCCAAGTGAAACCATTCACTGCAGCTCGCCTCCGTGCCAAGAGAGTGGAACCCTTGTGAAACCAGATCCAACTGAAGCCAAGGTCATGGGGATGTTTCAAGATGAATGGAGCACTCCCAGAAGATGTGGGCCAACTGGCTCATGTACAAACCATTCATTCCATAGGATTCCCCAGTGTCAGGCTGCACAGCCCATTCAAAACAAAGTGAAACAGAAAAACCTCTCTACACGCCAGCCAGGGCACCAGCCCTCTTCTCTTCCCACTCTTTTGGCTTCCTTGGAGCGGAACTAGGGGTGAAGAGGAGGAGGAAGGAGAACCTGGTCTCACCTCTTGCTCTGAGAGCCCATCGATGATCTCCGACACCTCGTGCTCACTGCGTGCAGCTGACATGGAGAGCCCTCCACTGCCCCTCTGTCCTACCCTGCTGGGAAAGGCCAATGGGACACTCAGGAACTGATGCTCCACACTCCATGACACAAAGCACAGCTCTCACTGTCCCTTGCTCGTTACCTGTGCTGGCAGCCACCTCTGCATCGCTACAACACAAGGCCATTTCACACCCAACCATACCCTCCCACCGTATTTTCTCATGCTCACTTCATCACATGATGGTGATGGCATGAACATATCTGTGCTAGCAGTGAGCAATCAGTGCCATGCCATCACATCTGGCACGCAAATGCTGCAGGAACATTTAAATAAAAATCACCCATTGGCATCTATCCCCCCTCCAGCATCACCACACATCCCAAGGAATTCAAGCTTTCCTTATCGAGCAGGTACAAGTTTAAAACATTTGACAGTTCCATTTCTCCCCTTTTTTTCATGATAAAATAAAGCGTCCAAAGAGGAAAATTTCACACATCCAGCTGCTTGCAGGGCACTGGTCAGGAATGGCAGACACAGGACAAGACAGACACTGCTGTGGAGTCTGCTCCCTTCTCTATAGCCCCCCTGTAGGAAAGAAGGGGACAGACTCTTCAGCTGAGTTGGCTGTGATGGGACAAGGGGAAATGGCTTCAAATTAAAGAGGGGAGATTTCGATTGGGTATAGGGAAGAAGTTTTTACGCTGAGGGTGGTGAGGCACTGCACAGGGTGCCCAAAGAGGTGGTGATGGAGCTGTGGGTGTCCCTGTGCACTGCAGGCAGTGAGACCAGATGCTCTTTGGGGGCTCCTTCCAACTCAAACGGCTCTATGACTCTGCACACAACAGGTGTCTCCGGGCTCAGATGGAAAGGATGGCGAGTTTTCAGCAAGAAGGATGGGAACTGTCATCCAAAATTCAGGAAGAAAGCTCTCTAACCCCACTGTGGTGTTAGAAAGCAGCATCCCTTTATTCCTCACAATACATACCAGGTGACTTGACAATCAAGCGTTTGCTCTCAGAGTTTAAGTTCCACATTTAAACAGTTAAGACATACATATGCAATACACTAGCATATTCATTTTTTCCCCAAGATCTCATTAACATATTCTAATATCCTTCTGGGCATGAGTAGTACAAGCCTATGGCAGTCTTAGACTACTTAACTTTCTCCTCATTTTTCCACCATCAGCTTCATCACAGTGACTTTTGGCCAACCTTTAGCTGTTTTTTCCCCAATTTGGCAAATTTCCATTGCTTGTTATGCCATAATGAGTAACTTTCTTTCTGAGTGCACTGTAACCCCAAACAATATATGTGAAATCTGAGGAAAAAGCCCTTGCACCTGGTGGATGCAAAGATAAAAGCAGTCTATTGTGACTCCAGTGCGTCTGTGAAGTAGGATTGTTGAGAAAAACAAGGCTGTTCACACATTAAGGCAAAGCTAAACCCAAAAATTTTAGAACAAGTGCTCACTGATTCCTTTTGGAAACTAATATATTGGCCCTCAAACTAAAACACTGCTCCGTGTTGCTAAAGCAGCCTATATCAGGATCACAATATGGCATCTCCTCCTGGCAGGAAACGATGTGACCTCAGATGTGCTTTAAATATGAGGCAGAAAACAGACGGGGGTGGCAGATAGGAGACAGCTCTGTCAGTGAGATGCTGCTCCTTTCGGTGCCTGCAGCCAGTCCTACAACCTCTGCAGACGTCCCTTCCCTCTGCCCAGGCTCCATCAGAGCACGGGTGCGTTTTAAGTCACCGACATGATGAAATCCATCCACACATCGTGTATGTCTCCCACCTGAGCCCAGCAATGAGGAACCAATTAGTGCCGTCCCACTCAGGTGGCCAGAAGGAGGGAGCTGCCCCAAGAATTTGGCAGCAGAGGAGCGGGCAGCCGCATTCCTGACATTTTTCCTCCTCTGATGGAGCTGAGCTGTGCCGCTCAGGGCAGAAAGCAACCAGGGACTCTGCTGGCTCCTGCGCTCAGTGCAACTGCTGGCTATCCACCTCGAAGGGGAGAGATGGGACTGATGGCCATCCAGGCCCGTTCCTCCCACAGACCAACCCCACACCCATCAACAAACAAAAGAGAAAGGCTGTCCGCTACCGGCTCAGCCCCGTCCTACCGCTTCTCCTCTAACCTCTGCATGCGCTCTTGCAGTTCCCGCTGCTTCCGGATCTCAGGGAATTGCTTCTCATAGTATTCCCGCACTTTGCTCTCCTTGGCACGGCGCCGGGGGTTATTTTCAATGCGCTCCACTTTCTTTTCCCAGGCCTCCATCAGCTGGTCATAGCGCTGGCAGAACTTCTGTTCCTGGAAGGGCAGAGCAAGAGGGAGCTCAGCGCTGTGCCTGGGCAGGGCAGCTCCCCGAAGCCCTTCCTGACGGCTGATGTGAGTCACAGCGCTTCCAGAAACGTGGTTTGTTAGGGCACGGACACGCTGCGGGGTCTGGGACCAACCCAAGAGTAAATACTCAGTACAACCCATTGAGTGCCCTTGGGCTTTTCTCTTCCAGCCCAACAGCTTTGGTACAAGACTGCCGCCCAGCATGGCAGTGCCCTCCCACCGCCCTTCTGCCATCCTCCAACATCCAAAGGACCAGAGGAACTCCTCTCTAGCTACAACCACAGGTTGCTGCTCCAGTAACAGGAGCAGAGCTGTCAGCACACCTCATCAGGTGCACAGGGAGCTCAGACACGCAGCAGCCTGCTGTTACCAAAGCCCTGAGTGCAGCCACTCCAGCCACTCGCAGGGATTTGCTCTCAGGGACGCTGTGCGCAGGCTCACCCTCACAGGCTGGAGTTTTAGGAAGGAAAAGCTTTCAAATATGTGCAGAACCCTCCTGTGCAGGCAAGGACACAATGAGATTCCACAGCCCTGAAGGATTAGCTCTCAGATGCTAATGTGTGGTTTCATGCTATTACCAACAGCGTTGCTGGGATGCAGCACGTGCTCTGCGTGGCCCTATCATTACTGCCATTATCAGAGCTCACAGGATGCTTTCCATGTTAGCATCGCTTCCGAACACTTAAAACAAAACTCTGCAGGTGGACTGGAGCCCTGAAAAATTCAAGGTGCTGCAGTGCAGGGCAAGGAGCGGCAAGGGACAGATCCCACCTACATGGGACCCTCAGTTCTTCAGGGGATGAGGTTGGGGGAAATAATTAAGCGCTTTCAAAACTGATTAATGCTAAAGCCCTGGTGCTGCTGCATGCAGGGACACAGCACAGCTCAGTGACACGAGAGATCCTGCTCAGCCCTCACACGAACACAGCCAGCAACCAGTGGGGATTTTAAGGTTTCACTCTGAGTGAAGCCAATGCCTTCCAGGCCCCAAAGCCGGAACTGAAAGCAGATGGCGCTCTGCAAAACAATCAATGGCAAACCCCAGGCTGCTCTGCTCACCCCGCAGTGCTGCTCTGAGGCTGGGCTGGTTTCAGCAGCGGGCAGCACTCGGCTGGTATGTCAGCCACTGCAGCAGGACAGTGAGTTCCCAGCTTGGCTCCTTGTGCCATCAGCCCCTCCATCACACCAGAACTTATGGAAAGCCAAATGGGAGCTGACACGTGCAGCTAAAAGCAGCAGAGTAGTAACACCACCGTAGCACTGAAGCAGCTTGCAGGCGGTGCTGAGCCCCGGCCCTCCTGCATCCCACGCTCCCACAGCTCTGGGAACAGAGCAGCAGCTTGGTGGGGAGGAGAAGGCAACAGAAGGAGCCAGTCCAACCCCTGTGCAACCTGCACTGTTCTGTTCCCCTGCTTGATGGAGAGAAACACTTCGTGGCCAGAACCGCTCCCTCGCTACCCTTCCTTCCCTGCAGCATCGCCCCTTTGATGGCAATTAGAAACTGCTGCCAGGCAGGCTGGAGCAGCAGGAGGGATTCCTGCAGGCTCCTCATGGGGAATGGAACCTGTGGGGCTGCCCCAGCCCTGCCCAGGGCACCCCAGCACACAGAGGGCAGGAGCCAGGAAGGAGGGCTGGCACGAAGACAGGCTCTGCTAAAAATAGGGGCTGCTACAAAACAGGCAGAAAAATAGCTAAGCAGACCCATTTTGCAAACAGAATCAGCAAATGCGTTCACTTTGCAAAATCAGCAACCTTCTGTTGCCTATTTTGTAGAACAGGCAAAATGCTTCCCTAAACTGAAAAATCCCCTTTCAAGGGCACTGAATCAACTGGCTGGCAGAAATTCACCTATTTTGCATGACAGATGACTTTACTGTGAGCCATATTTTAGGACCCATGCCCTTGCAGCCCAGTTAAACCTTTTCCCCCAGCTCCTTGATACGCACAACAGAGCAGCTCATTCTGAGTTTAGCACTGTAACCAGCCGTTTCCTCAGAAAACAGCTCCTGTTTGGTTCCCTTCTGGCTCCCACAAACCACAGGACGCTGAGCTCAGTGCATGCAGCAGGACTGGGGACCTCTGCTTTACGTCCAGGGAAGATACAGAAAAGGAAACGCAGTGCACCAGGCAAGGCACTGGGCAGATCTCTGCTGGAAAACTTCCTTTTCTTTCTGACATAAAGAATTAAGCTGCTTTATGCTTTCAGAAAAAGGTATAGGGGAATCACTTACCCACTGTTTGCGAGCATGATTTCTCCTCTTAAAGTACAAAATTAACTTCTTCCGCATTGCCTGGTTTCTGTAAAAGAAAAAAAGATGAGATCCCATTAAGAAGCCACCTAAAACTCAGCACTTGGCTGCCCTGGAGCACAGAGGGGCTCACAGAGCAGCTTCCACCTTAACCTGGAGCCACAGCAACCCCAGCACCTTGGCTGTGGGCGCTGAGTCCAGCAGGGCTGCGGCAGGGCTCCATCTCCTGACCTCTGTGCCTAACACAGCTGCAAGGGAAGCAGCTGGGAAAGCCCAGCTGTGTGCAGAAGTGTCCTGAGGAGAGAAACCAGCCCCAGAACCACAGCCAGCCCAGCCCTGCCCAGCACTCAGCTGCTTCTTATTTTGACTTTTTCAAGAAAGCATGAAATAACCTTTCAGAAGAGAAAGCAGCAGGATGCTGGGAAGGCTGCACAGCTCTGTGTGAGCCCGATGGCCGCGGGAGTTCCTGTTACAGCAAGCAAGTTTCTAGGTGAAAGGTAGAGGCCAGGGACGAGGGAGTTTCCTTAAGCCCTTCATCCTGATTAGCGCCTGAGCCACAGCGTGCAATTACCAACCAGCTCAGCGGTGCCGTGCAGGGCGCTATCGTGCAGGCGCCTTCTGTGGGATTTAGCAAAATGGAAGCATTCCGTCACCGCTTCCTCAGATCCGCTGCTTCACACCCCTGGAAATACACCCTCCTCCCCCATTGACCCCCAGCCCCATGCAGCCCCAAGCAGGGCAGCGGGTGCAGCTCCCCTGGCAGAGCGGCAGCCCTGGCTTAATGCAGGAACGTAGAATGTCACAGGAAGCATTCAATCTTTACACTTCAATTCTCAGTCCTGGTAACACCGTTCAGACCTGGAAACCTTCTGCTTTGCCCTTAGCTATCAGAGGTACCATTCACACTGTGCTGCACCTCCATTCCCTTTGACTGATGCACAAGCAGACCTTGCTTGCCAGGTGGGCTATAGTAAGCGGGCTCAGATCTCCTGCAATGGAGAACTCCCACCTGTGGCTGAACAGGCCCTGGGCTGCCCAGCTCGAGGGTGGGGATACGCAGCCCCCCAGGCTCTCCTGGTTACAGCACTGCAGACCCCACAGGTGTGCTCCTGGGCCCTGCAGATCACACACTGGGATTCATACACAACGAGATTCCAAGCAGGGGCTTGGAGATCAGACCTTGTCTTTTGATTCCATTTCAGAAATCAAAGGGGCACTGATCAACGCAGGGGGGTGAAGGGAACGAATAAATCGGTGCATGGGGCAAATGCAGCCTTTGCTCTTTTTTTTTTTGATGGTGTGTTTACAAAGGACTCACTGTTGTTCTGGGCTGCACTGCGAAGATCAGAAGCTGTCTCATTAGATGCATTAACAAATATCACTGCCAAAAGCTTCTCCCTGCTGGATCACACAATGCCGCTCTCTTTCGTCTCTGTCCATGTGGCACATCCACCGAGGAGCCGCAGAGCAGCTTGGCAGGCTGAACTAACTTCACCACTCAGCTCTGAGCAAACTGCCCATGACAACCAGGGGCACTGAGGCAGGAGCTGCAGCCTGTGGGGGAGGGCACAGGAAGCAGAGCCCAGCACTCCGCCAGCACCCACAGGCAGCCCAACAGCACCCACTGCCCACTCCTGAGCCCACCTGAGGGCTCTGCTCCCAGCTGAGTCTTGGGTCCCTGTGTCCTGTTCTGCCAGTGAGCGCTCTCCATCTCCAGCTGTGGGGCACTGCAGCAGGCAGCCCTCCTTCCATCCCACAGATTGTGTTCCAGAGCTTCGGTTTTGTGCAAGTGAGCTCCAACAGGAGGCTGTGCCCAAAAGACACATTCCCATTGTTTGCTTGTTTACCCCAGTTCAGATGGAAACTCTGCTGGAGTGATGCTAATGGTGGTAACTTCAGCACAGCTCAGATGGGTGCACTTCGGCTGATGTGGTTCAGCTGAAACCCATCAGTGGGAGTGCTCCTGGGGAAGGATTTGGCCCTGGAAGGGGCAGCTCAGCTCAATCAATACCTGTCCACGCAGGAGCAATGTGGAGCTTTGGGAGAAAACTCATCAGCAGAGGGGAGAGCAAGGGAAGAAAATGAGAAGCTTTTACACAGCTGATGCATTGCCTTGAGTTCTGCATCATGGCTGACCTTGAAAGTGCAAATACAGGCAAAGATTTTATGGCTCTGCAGCTGCAAGTATCAGGAATGCCTTGAAAGCCTCCGTGTGTTTACCAGTGTGAAGGCTGAAGTAATCAAAAAGTGAAAGGATTACAAACAACAACAACCCCCTGCTAAGAACCCTAAATGTTTTCCCCCACTATCTTGATGTTGTTTTTTTTTTTGCATAAGGTCAACCTTTCAAAGGTTAATAAAATCCTGGTAAATATAAATAGGCTTCACAGTTTATCTTGCTACACGTGCTGCTGTTACTTAGAAACCATTTGCAGAGAGGTTAACTCGGGCCACTTGTCTCAGAAGCACACGCTGTGCTCCCCGGGCACATCAAGCAGCAACACGGAATTCTTGCAGCACCAGGAAGGCAGGGGCTGCCTGCTGCTGTCCTGCACAGGCACACAGAGCGGAGCGGCACGATGGAACGGTCACTCCGGCACAGTGCCAGCTGTCCTCCAGCAGCCCATCTGGAGCTGATCCAGCTGCCTGCATCCTTCATCTCCCCACCTGGGCACACAGTAAAGCGTCCCATCTGGAGACCTGGCTGGCTCAGAGAAGCCAAGCGGCCGGCAGGCAGAGGAGGAAGGCTCCTTACATAAAGCAACAGTGACTCTTGGGGGCAGTTTCAAGTACTGCTGTGCTGCAGGAGATGCTCACGTCACACACGGGTCGGGCTGCAGCATCAGGTCCTGGTTCTTGGCGATGCCACGCATGGAATGAGCGGAGCTGGGATGGATGGATACGTGGCTGCTGGAAGCTGGAAGTGAGGGGGGGTTCTTTATCCTGGGGCCCATTTCTTTAGGCACGCAGGGTGGCAGCAGTTCTCAGGAGCACATTGCCCACTTTGGGACTGGGTGGATGAGCACAGCTGGTCTCCAGCACCCTGACTTGGAAAAGGGTGAGCCCAACCTCCGGGCGATACCAAAGGGGTCCCTGGGGCAGCCTCCCCCCAGCGCTGCCCCACAAGCAGCAGCAGGCAGAAGCAAGCAGAGGCTCAACAAGTTAAACAACCCAGAGGCCTGAGCGTCACCTCAAGCAGGAAGCAGGATCCAAGTATCTGTAATTCGGGGTGTGACTGTGAGGACTGCACGTCCTCACATACCTCATCCTCACCCCTCTGACCTTGCTCATAGGTCACACACCCAAACACGGCTCTCAGCACCATCTCCAAACCACCGAGCACCCAAGCAAAACCATCTCCCACCCAGAGCAAAGCAAAGGGCCGCCACCGCTTCCACCTTCACCGCCTCGGCGCAAGGTTGCCGCTGGTTTTTGGCTTTCACAATGCAGGCAGTCAAGGAGAGAAGCTGTAACTTTGACTTTTGAGATACTTGGCTGGGCTCCACGTGAATTGCTTGGCTGTGGTCCTCCTGCAGCAAGGATGCACGCATGCGTGCTGGTGCGGTGTGTACGTAGGTGCGGGCGCTGCCAGGGGCTGGGATAAGGCTCCCGAGGACACAAAGGGCCGATGCACTGCGGCACACCTGGCCCTGCTCGCCTGCAGAGACCTTGGGCCAGCACAGGACGAGATGAAAGGAAGTTTGCTGTTTGATCACAACTAATCACGGGTATTTAATTACGCAGGAACGTCTTTCATCAAACAGCCAGAGCAAACAAAGCAGGGATCAAGCCTGCAAAGAGCGGTGGGGAGGAGGCCACCAGCAGCTGGCAAAGCCATTGTGGGGCGAGATTTATCGTGTAGGAAAGGAACGGAACGGAGGAGCCTCCTGGCAGCTGGAACCAAACAGTGCTGCGAGCACAGCATGCCCATCCACCTGCCACCGAGGTGCTCCCTGCCTCCTGGCAGCAGTTACAGCCACAACCAGGGTTCATAGCACTAGGCTGGGAATTGGCACCCATCCTCTTCAGCACCTATGAGCTCGGGAGCACTGCAAGACAAATGCTCACGGCCCCTGCGTCCCCTGGGAGCTGCGCTGATGCTGTGAGCCCAAGCTCCTCACCACAGTTCCCGCAAAACCAGCCTGTGGTCTTGGTTAGAGAAACAAGCAGAAGGTTGCAGCGTTTCTCCATCGTTTAGAAATTCATCACAAGGCATTACTTCTGCCCTAGCGTGTGCAAATAGAGAATAAAAGAGATGAGGAACCTTGAATGGGATGAGCAGGGAGCTGCTAGGTGAATTTCTAATGAGGAAAATGTCTACAAGCTGTAATAAAAAGACCTGAAAGAGAATGCATTAGTAATGACAGGGTTTGGAGGAGCATTTGTGCTACATGTCAGGCTTTTACTATGAATTCAGAGGCAATCCAATGCTACTAAACCCCCTAAACAGTCAGTAATGAAAAGATGACTTAAATTTGCCAAAGTGACAAGTGATTTGGAAAGCTGTACTTAGCAGCAGATTTTCAGAAGAAAGCTGCTCTGCTCTTTTGGGAAAACAGGGAGAGGCAATTCGAAACAAAAATGGGTTCAGAAGCCCCTAAACCTCTCTGAAAACGCAAAGATTTAGGTTCTGCATAAGCAAGCTTTCCCTCCCCAGAAAAGTGGGCTTTTTCAAGGCTGAGAAGCTCCTATTTTGCTTTCAAACCCAAATCTCAGACTGATTTCAACATGACTGCTTTAAGAAGGGGAGGAAAGTCCTCTGGGGCTGTTTTCCACGGCTGACCGGGCAGGAATCTGCCGCAGCCAAATGAAGGCCCCCTCTGAGAATCCCTCCCCAGGTAGGCAGCAGGTAATGGATCCTGCTCTGTGAGCAGCACCGTGTCACTGCTCAAACGCTTTGCAGAGAGATGGTTAATGCCTTTGGTGGCAGGAGAACACGCAGGATCCCTGCTGAGGTGGGGAGCACAGCTCTCACCTGGCACGGCACCTCAGAGACCAAACAGATTCTGCTAGGGCAGGATTTGGTGTCCTCTGTGTTTGTTGCTGCATTTCAGACAATCACAGGATGGCACAGGTTGGAAGGGACCTTAAAGATCACCCAGTCGCATCGCCTGCCGTGGGCTGGCTGCCCACCCAGCCCCATCAGTACAAGCTCCCTAAGTGCTGCCTGGTGCTGATGGAGCAGCACAGCCCTCCCGCAGCAGCACACACAGGACACCAGCCCGGCCCAGGGAGGTCAGCTCTTTGCCACAAATCACTCGGCTGTGCCTTCCATCCCACAGCAGCTGCAGCATACAACATTAACCACGTCTGCTTGGAGCCCGCGCTCCTGGGTGAACCGAGGGGACCCGGGCAGCAGAGCACAGCGAGGCCGTTAAATGGGACTTAAAAGCCTTTGGAAACTGCAGACACTGGAATGAACTGGGGCATGAAATTAATTCTAAGTGTACTGAATAGGAGACAAGCCATAAAGCTCCATGAAAATAAGAGAGAGGGAACATTTTTGGAAGAGCAGGAAATCTTTCCGTAAGTCCCCAGTCAGCTCTATCAGCACAAGTGACTCATTCCAGCTGAAGGCAAAGCAAACAAGCAGGAGGGATTAAAGCAGTGTTGCAACGCAGAGTGTCACTGCAGAGAAATCGAGGAATCCTGGCGTTGTGATATTCAAATGCCCTCCCACTGACGTGCAAACTGAGAAAAAAAAAATCCTACATAGGAAAAGTTGGGGAAAAATAAAAAGAAAAAGGCATCTGTGAATAGAATAAGCCCAGCTGCCCTTCTGTGCCCAGGTACAAGGCTCATACCCAGCACGGACACGGAGCAGAACAGGATGCACTGTAGCTACACACCCCTGCAGGTGGCACAACGCAGTGTGGACCCAGGACCCCTGGGATGGGCTTGCTGGCAGAAGCAGCATCTGGAGCCCAGAGAGCTGCAGGGCCTTTCCCTGACCTACATCAGTAAATGCACCCAGCTGGCATCGACAACGAGCTGAGCACAGCTAATTGCAGGGTTTCTGCCAGGAGGAGATGGTGGCTTTTCACTAAAATGCGTGGTTTCCTTCTCATATTTTGCAGCATTGATCAGCAGAACTGCCTCAGCTCCCCCTGGGTTACCTCTGGGCGCTCAGGGCAGCCCCACTCCCTGAGCCTCCTTCCCAGTGCCGTCCTGTGTGCCCACCCCCCATGCAGGAACAAAGCACAGGAACTGATTCAAATCACAGGAAAACGTGATCACGAAACTACAAATATCGGCAGGGGAAGAGGGAGCAGGTGAAGTACCAGGAGCTCCTTTAACTTGTTCTCTCAAGGACAAAGCTCCCATCTGCTCGGAATGCCCCCCCAGGCCCAGCCCACCAGCAGCCCAGAGGGGCACTGGGGACCCTGCAGCCCCTGCGCACAGCCCCAGCAGCACACAGAACAGCAGGAGCCCGTTAACTCTTCCCCTCTAATTCCCCCAGCATCAATTAACAGACTGCTGAAAACCAAAAGATTATTAACTGTAGTTAATAGATTCTTAAAGATGATTACCAGCAGCTGACTGAGCCCGTATCAAAACAGACCAGAGTCACCATTGGCTCCCTCCGGCCAGACAGGAGTTCCAGACCAGGTCTGACTATTCCCTTTTCCAACAATGATCACAATTACCACTGTTCTCACTGCCTATTTTATTTCTCCTCCATTCAGGAAGTCACTGTGGTTATTAAATGCAAGTTGATGATTAAATCATGGATCGAGGTGATAAGCCATAAATTAGATGATTAATGAGACTCATAAGTATCTCTGAAACAACCAATTGCTGTCAGACATTCAAGAGGTGCTTCGCAAAAATCAAATGGTAATTGCAACTTTCCACTTCCCTCCTGCTCCCTGCATGCAAACACACACACGCACACCGGCGATCGATTTCATATGTGTGAAACACACCCAACAAAGCCCCACACGCCCCTGGATGCTGGCAGCCCCCAGGGAAGCAGAGCGGCCCTGCAGCACCGCACAGAGCTGCACTCCCTGCAGCTCCGATGGGGAATCACAGTAGGGAACGGGGGCCAGGAGCAAGAGAGCATCCCCTGCCGCAGCCTAACGCACAACCTGACATTTCAAATAGCCTTTATTGCCACGTACTTACATTTTAATGTTTTCATGGTATTGCCTGGTGTCTGAAGGCTGGTTGTATAACGGCTGAAATAAATAAGAAAAATGAAGGCATAAATGGGTACGGTCTGACATTTAGAAACTTCAACCTGTCAGCAGCGGCGCTGCGGGCTCCCATCCCCTCCAGCAATGCTCCCGCAGCAGCACCCAGCCCCGTCCCCGTGTCCCCGCACGTACTGCAGGGCTGGCTGCCGGCGCCGTGCAGCTCGGGGGAGGCAGGCATCGAGCTGCTCACAGCGATTCCTTCGCTACGCAATGCTCACAAACGCAGCTCAGTACGTGGTTGTTATGCGCTCCTCGCAAAGGCAGCGCGCTGTGGAACATACGACACGGGGGAGGCGAGGGGAAAGGGGGGCTCGGGGAAGGGAAGAGGCAGCCTGCGTGCTGCAAATTGTTATGGCTACGCTACGAAAGCTGCCGCAGCTCTGCGAGGAGCCGAGCGCAGGGTGAGCCTTCGTCCCAGCGGTGCCCAGCAGTGCAAAGGGAGCTGCCCCTGGGCACAGGGACCCCTACGGGCTGGGGCGTGGCAGGGTTTGAATGCTAGCTGGTGCCCAGCCTGGCTGAAGATCAAGAGGAGGTAAGCTGGGAATGCTCACAGCATCCAGTATGCTGCCCTGGCCAGCGGCCGCTTCTTGGGAAAGGATTGCAGGAATTGAAAATGCTGGTAAATAGAAGCGCCTTCCTTCCCTCGGTGCTCATAAAAACCAAAGCAAACAAGCTGGCATGTGATGAGGCACAAGTGTCTTCCTTTCAGAGCAGGGGGCGGGAGGAACATTTTGTGCCTAGGTTAGAGGCTTCTCATTGTCACGGATGCCCTGCTGCTGCTCAGCTCACCACGGGCTGCTGATTCATTTCCACTACCACTGGTCTGTGATAGAAATGGCCACTTACTTAGTTAGCAAACCCAAGTGCTAACGGACAACTGCTGCAAGCATCGCTGAGAGAGAAAAGCCTCAGCGCTCCCAACTACAAAACTCAGGGAACAAACACAAAACCACAACAGAGCATCTAGAGGGGACTCCGCAGACAGCCTTGTCACTCAGCTCAGCCCTGGAGAGCCGCTCAGATACCCCACAGCCAAACACTAGAACTTCCTTCTCACCAGGGCAGGGACTGAGAACCACCGTCCTTCCTCAGAGCCATCCGCAGCCTGCACAGAACAGCAACTTGCTAAATGAGTAAACCTGACCGGTCAGATGGCCTGGGATGTGCTGGCAGCACTCACAGCATCTCTCCTCATAAGGGACGTGTCATGCGTTTCTCTGGGGGATGACACTTAAGTAAAACAAAACTGCAATGCGAGCTGTTACTGGAAAAATCTTGGATTTACTGAAAGGTCTTTAAAAATTAAACACAACGAAAGCCATCAACTGTTTTCTGGTCACTGCAATGTTCAGACTACAAATCTCCATGAAATTTCTCCCTGGGGAATACATGGGGTCAGTTTAATGGGTCCCAAGTACGTTGCAGGGATAACCCAGTGAACAGCAAACTTCTCTTTGCAGCAGAACAAGAGAACTCCTGCCAAAGGCACAGCTGGACTTTAACACAAGGCAAAGGACCCACACATCAGAGCTGCCCCCAGGCAGGTCAGAAAGACAGTGGTAACAGGCTGGGGGACTGGGGCACAAATTCACATGTTCTGGCTCCCGGGAGCACAGAACAGGGCTTCTCCAGAGAGATTCAGGCACAAAGCAAAACTCCTCAGGTAAAAAACGCAGGGCCAGATTGTGTGAGATCAGCTCCCAGAGCGTGGTGCTGGTGAGCACAGAGGCTGCTGAAAAGACTGAAGCCAGGAGTCTGGGTTTCCTACCAGAGCTGGGCCATCACCCAGCAGTTTCCAGCTTGAGGGGAAACCCATGACACAGACCCAAACTGCTGGGTAAGTCCCCATTCGAACTACAGCAGATCCTTGTCAAAACTTCTTCCATCCGATGCTGCAGGCAGCCTCCAAGAGCAAGCAGGTGTGCTGGAAGATTTCCTTCTCCACCACACAAAGCTGGCTCTGGAGCAATAGCGCCCAAAGGCAAAGCACCCACAAATCAAAATAAAAGGGGAAAAAAATGTGTGTGGGAGAAAAGAAAGGCAACGCAACGTGTTTTAGATGAGGAAGCATCACTACATTGTTTGACCCCAGTGACTCAATGAAGTATAATGTGCCCTACCTCCCTGGGCAAGGAAGTGGCTGCAGCATGCGGCGCTGACCACTAATTCCTGTGACCTCTCCCTTCCGCACTCGGGGAGGACAGTGATTATTGCCACCTCCACAAGACCAGTCCTAATTACAGCTGATGAGCACAGTTGTGCTGTGTGCTCACCCAGCAGCCAGGGCTCCCTCTGCTGCACCCCACGGCCAATGCAAGAGGTGCTGCCAGACCCAAGTATGGCCTGCTCTGACCTTTCCAGCTGCTTTCCTCCTGCAGCATTACTCCTGATGCCTATTTTTCCAGCACCTTCCTTCAGTTCACAGCCCCCCAGGTGCTAGTTTCAGCCACCTCCAGCATCCAGCTGCTTAACTTACAACTGTAATTCGCTGAATGAGGGAGTAGCCCCACAACGACAATATAGTAAATGTGTTTTTCTCAACTTCTCTGTGCACAAGAGACAGAAATAGGATCCATGCAGATCCTGATACCCGCAGGTTATGGTTGGTGCGTGCTCCCCAAACCCCTTCCCCAGCACCTCCTGCACTCGCCTCAGATGCAGCGTCCCACTGCAGGCTGTGCTGGAGCATCACTCTGCCCTGCTGCAGCAAGACAGAGGAGCCGAAGGGTTAATGCTCTCCAAGAGGCTGCGTGTGCATTTCAGTGCTCAGCTCAGCCACTTTGCTTCCTGTCCTGGTGCCATGACAGCTAGACATCTTGGCCCACAGTGTTTCCTCCTCGTGGCTCAGCCCCACACCTCCCGGGGATCTCCGCAACGCCCACGGCCATGGAGAACACTCACCAGCTCCACCTGCGGACCCAGCCCTTCCAGGATGCGGTGGGCAGCTTCTGCCTTCTTCTGCACAGAGGAAAGGGAACAGGAAGAAAGAAGTTATTTTTACCACTGACTACAGCAGCACAACTACCCAGCACCCAAACCCCTTCCCAACCAAACCCACCCGCACCTGAAAGAGGACCGCAGGAAAGCCCTGCAGGCAGCGAGGTATCACACATCCAACGCACAGCTCCTGAGCTCCTCCTAGCACTGCAGAGAGCCACCCCAACTGCAAAACCCTCAGGAGCAGCAGGAGAAGCCTCTGTCCTCTCCCAGTCCAGCCCTGGAGTTGCAGCACCGTGCAGGTTATCTTGACACAGCCTCAGCATGAGCAAGTCAGCACGCACACATAGATGCCCTTTCTAGGATCCATCACTCAGTGAGCATGTGATCACTGGTTGAGCTGCCCTAGGCTCTTCATTGTCACCACTCCCCCCCCTCACAGCCCTGCTCTGCCCCCTCCACGCCCCCCCCATCCCTCACACGGGTTAGAGAAAACAGCAACCCACAGAGGGCTGCACGGCGTTTCCTAATCAAACAGGCCTGAAAAGAGACGTGGGTTCACCGCAGCGGGAGGCTGAATAAAAGGTGACGTTCTCAGTAAACAGCACTTCCCTGCAAAGCCGGGCTTTTCAATTGCTGTTACTAACAGTCCAATAAATCCACATCGCTTTGGGACCGACGCGGTACAGCCGGATACCTGGCGGCGAGGGGCCACGGAGATGGATTTTCAGAGGCATTTGTTCCATCACATAGGTCCTTTTTCACATGAGGTAGGGAGAGAGGAAATCCAGGCTGCCTTCAAGAGGCTGCAGGAGCAGTGTGGGCAGCTGAGCTTCACAGGATTCACCCGTGGGGAGGGGAAGGGGAAGAGGATAAAAAAAACCAACCTTGTTTGAAGCGCATTCAGAGCTTTAACCCAGTAAGCACTACAGCTCTGCAGGATCTGAGAGCTGGGATTTCAGCTAGCAGGAGATGCAGCCAGGCTCCTGGTAGGAGCTACAGCAAGCAGGGGATGAGCTGTCACTCATGCTGCTTTCTGGCATATCAGCCCCAACTCACGGCCTCTGCATTGTGCAGGATGCCAGGAGATGCCCGCCAACCCCGCACAGTGTGAGCTCCTTGCTGGGGCTTTGCACACCCACACAGTCTGAGCTGTGAGCGTGCACTTTTGCAAACCTGGCCATGGGACCAGAGGGATGAGTCACTGTGCCCACAGCCAACTGCAGGTCCCCAGTGGCTGCAGAGCCCAGGTGGTGCTGAGACGAGCTGCCAGCTCCTCCCTTACTGCACGCCCGGCAGGACGCAGTGCTTTCTGCAATTCAGAAGTGACTTCAAGGATGCTACAAGAGATGTAACCATGAGTTTGGCACGTTCCCCACGCAGCACAGCAGCACCATTACCAGTGATCTACACCCTGCTGCGGGGTTCCTATGCAGCTCACGGAGACTCCTGGATGTCACCAGCGCCGTGAGCAGCTGTTGGGGCCACACACATGGCAGCAGACCAGAAGCATGGCTCAGCGCCACGCTCTGCCCTCCTCTTTGCTGCTGTCCTCCCAGCAGAGAGCAGCTTTGGGCTCCACACCGGAGCAGCCTGCCCAGGACGTGCTGTGCAGCACAGAGCCCGGGCCACAACGCGGCGCAGCCACCCAGCGGCCTCATTGCGTGCATGCAGCCCTGTGCTGGCTGCTGGGTGTGCGCCTGGTGGCAGAAAGCAGGGAGAACACGGGGCATTCCCAAACAAAACCCAGGAGCCAGGCTGTGAAAAAGCAGTGATGAGCATCGGAAAACATATGGCTCAGGGGTTGGCTTTCCCTGCAGCCCTGGATTTACAGCCATTGCATTTTCCATGGGGTAATAAACTACCTCAAACTCCCCTGAGCACACAGGGCACACACAAACTCAACACTCAAAGGTCCTGGCTCCTACAGGTTCCAGCTCTGCTGTCACCAAGGGAGCTCCAAGCAGTGATGGGTTCATGCATAGCTCCAGCTCCGATCCTCAATTCTCCTCCTGGGGAGATCAAATCAGGCAGACTTGTGCACAGGCTTCAATACTCATGTGTGCCTCAGCTATTCAGTGAGCTGCTCTGTTTGACCTCACGTGAAGAAATTAAAGGAAATAAAAAGTTTCGATGCTGTCAAACCCAGCTCAGTTAAGAAACCCATAGAACCTGTCCAAAGCTCCCCAGAAGGCACTGCAGAACACTGAATGTTTCCACTACAGAACTTCAGACTTCATTAGCAGGAAGAAGCAAAGTCTGCCCTGGGAGCTGCCAGACTGAAATATTCATAGCTCCATAGAATCATTAAGGTCAGAAAAGACCACTAAGATCACCAAGACCAAGCATCAACCCAATCATCTTGCCACAGGGTGCTCGCAGCCAGAGCTCAACATTTTGGTCTCTAAGAGCAATAAAACCTGCTAACCTCAGAGAACATCTGCACAGAGGCACCAGGAAGCTTCACACCATTACAGCGGGGCTAAAATTTGGTGCAGGGAAGGATGAGGGCATTAGAACTGCAGCTACGAGTTGATGACACCGGAGGTCTGTGTGTGCAACGTGATTAACTCCATGAAAAACCTGCATATATTCAGCTGCTATGTTTCCCATGTTTAGACAACTTAATGAGACAAGCCAGAGGCAAATCACCAAAGGCAGAACATGTGGCGAATCAAGAAGAATGACATAATTTGTCTTTCATTAACTGACTGCAACGTACACATCTCCAGAATGAAAGATCAGGAGGGAAAGCTATTCTGAGCACGTTGCATCTCTGTATGTACACAAAGAAACGCCTCTGCCACGAAGGCTGCCCAATTAGCACTTGACACACACGCTAATCGCTGATGCTCCTCGCTGCCTTTATCAGATCAGAAGAGAACCACCCAGAGCCAAGTGGCAGATGTCACCTGCAGGAGGGAACCCCGTGCCCAAGGACACACAGATGGAGAACACACTGCCCCGAGGCCTGACTTGGGGTGCTTAACCCAACCTGACAGCAGGCAGTGCCAGCACAGCCCACTCCTCCTGCACTGTGATCCCTGCCAGACCCTTCCCCGCAGGCATGGCTGGCATGGCTCAGTTCTGCTGCTGTGCCATGAGGAGCACGCTTAGCGGGTGACCTGCAGAAGGGTACTGAAGAGTTCACCCTACAGCAGCTGAACAATGTGGCCAGCCAGCTGCGCCTGCAACCCCTGTTATTTAACAGAAGGGAAAGGATCAGGAAGCAAACATAGCCATTATTCTGGTGAGATGCAAGATGATCCCCACTGGTTTTATAGTCCCTCTGCTGCTCGCCAGCAAGCAGCTAATGACCCCTTTTCCAGATTTGGTATGGAGTCCTGAAATACTGCTACAGCACGCAGCACAGAGTGTTTGCAGCACAACCCAAGCCCTGGGGCTGAATTTTGCTCCCATTTACATCAGAGTGGCTCTGCTCCAGCAGCACAGCAGTGGCACACATACGTCTCAGGTGCAGGCACAGCCTCTGGGGCACATCCACACTCACAGGTGAAGTCCCTGGCACCGCAGTTCCGCACTTGTGTTTGGAGGCATGGAGGTGTCATGAGAAGCGCAGCTGAAGCACAAAGGTCAATCAGTCTAAAAAGCATTTGGCTTCCTTTTAAGGAAACATCAGGTCTTCTGCTCCAGTGGAACAGAACGAGGAGGGAGAGAGCAGCATCTCAGCTCATAACGTATCACAGCACCCAGAGCCAGGGAGCGGCTGGGATCTCATGGGGGCTCTTCTTAAAGCAAAGTTTAAAAATGGAAGTGAAGGAAACACGGGGTTATTTTGAGAAAGCAGATCTGAAATTAGGAGGCGGCACTTTCTTGGAATGGTTCCAGCCATCATTCCATCCCGCTCTGCGCCGCTGAACTGTGCTCCCAGCATTATTTATAGCACCCCGTGGGACGCAGGCAGCTGCCGTGCTGGGGGACGTGAGCGCTCCTATTGGGGATCCCACAGCGATACGGCACAGCCAGCAGCGCAGGGAGCAGCAGTCGGCCAGCAGCTCTGCACCACATCCTGGGGAGCAGCCGGGCCGGTGTGCCAAGCAGGCAGGCTGAGATGGAGCTTGTTTGGGATGGAATTCAGAAGTGGTGTCACTGAAAACAGCAGAAAAACCTCAGGCGAGACACCACACCCCCAGTGCTCAGCAGGGTGCAGAAAGACAAACAGTTTGGAGGATTTAAAAGGAAAATTTGTGCAGAGTGCGACCTCACAGTGCTCGCTTCATGGGCAAGAGGTGATGGCCATGGGGTCAGCCACTCAGAAGGAGTGGTGAACGCTGTCATGGGCTGCCCAGGGAGCTGGGGGGGGGTCACCCAGAGGTGTTCTAGAGCCATAGGGATGTGGCACTGAGAGACACGGTCAGTGGGCATGAAGCAGGGGGCCAACAGTTGGACTAGATGCTCTTAGTGGTCTTTTCCAACTTGAATGGTTCTGTGAGGAAAGATTTCCCTCCCAGGACCAGGGTACCAACCTCTTCTCCCTCTCACCCCCCAGAGCCAATCCCCAGCAGTGTGCTGCCCTGCATGGGACAATCCCCCTTCCAAGCTCTCTCCTCACACCCTGTCCACCCCACTGCAGAGCAGTGGCAGTGCAGATTCCAGGGACTCCCCACCATGGCCGCGTGCCATGGAGGTGACAGATGACTCATCATAACTAACACCAAAACTGAGGGACGGGTCTGTGTGCTACCAGCAGGGCCAGCATCCTGTGCAGAGCGTGACAACCTCGGCAGCCCTGCTCCTACCTGTGCCTGGGGCTGCTGCCACCTTCTGTGGGCACTGCTCCCACGCTGTGCCCACTGCTGAGGGCAGAGCCCACAGGCACCAGGTCTGCACACCGTGGCACACAGCACAGCACCACGCTGCTGCAGTGCCATGCTGAGGCAGGAGAGGTTCAAAGGGACTGAGGCTGTGCTGGGAGGAGTCTGCTCACCCCATCTGAGGAGCAGGCACTGTGCCACGGGGCTTACGCTTCTCTCTCATGCTGTACCCAAGTTCTGTGTGCTGCTGGGCTTTATTTCCAGGACCTGAAGACGCAGGACACTGCAGTGCCTGGTTTGGATCAGGCTATTTTCTTTGATATCTGAGGAGAAGTGAAAGGATTCTGAACAGCTCCAGGCTAAAGGTTCAAATCTCATCTTTTTTGCAACCTTGCTGTTACAGAGCAGCATTAACAGCACCTGACCTCTGACCTGTCTGTTTTCCCCTGGACTTTTGGGAAGCTCCTCATGCACCACCGAGCTGCACTGAGTCAATGTTAGGGTAAATATCAGCAGGATCAAAAGCAAAACAAACGAGGCTCTTTCAGCAGTCAAACACAGACTGCTCCGTCCTACCTACCCACATCTACCAGGACTGGAAGAAAAGCCTGCACATTTAATGTTCAAAAGGCATTTCACTGATAAGGTTCTGTGCACTGCAGCTCTGTGCTGACGATGCAGGCCCAACTCTTTCCTTTCTCATGTAAATCAGGAGTTCATAGAAAATCAGTTATACAGACACAAAATCGCCATGGGATCTGAGTCACGCTCTGTGGCTCCGAGCAGCCAGCAGCTAGATTGTACTTTGCAATGCTAAAAGCACTCATTTATTTATTCCCTTATTTATGGATGGGGCATTAATGCTTTATGAGCGCGCAGATGAGGGTAAGCGGATAGCCAGGAACACGCTCCGCACAGACACAACAGCAGCAGGGGGTGGAAAAAGTTCAAACCAACCCTTTGAATTCCAATTTTACAGCATAATGCTGAATTTATAGATAGATAGCTGTGCCCTTTTGAAGGAACATGCACCGAGACAGAAAACGAATTAAAATTTAATCTTATTGATTTCCACCAACTCAATCCCCAGAGCGAGACAGACGGTGCTGCCTGCTTCCCCTGCCTGCTCTGCATCAAACCTGGTATTTCGCAGAGCTGACAGCAGAGCAGGGAAGGGCAGCACGGCCCCATGGCACGCAGGGTGCAGTGCTGCTGTGGGTCCCAGCGCTCGGCGTCCCCGTGCTGACGTGGGGACAAGTCACACCGTGTCCTCAGGTGACCTCTCCTTCTGTGAGGGAACAGAGAGCGGCAGAAAGCACTGTGCACACTGGAGCTGATGGACAGCCAGGGAACGAAGGGGCCGTTAGGGAGGATTAACACAAAGGCTGCTCCAGGCGCACTGGTACAGCTCTGAGCAGCGCTGCTCTCCTGCCTAATGAGGGACGTGCTAATTGGGATCCTGAGCACAGGAATGTCTTCAAGGCCAGGTATGCTAAATCAGTTCCCAGGGAAGGGGGATGCGAGGAAGCCCATCAACTCAGCAGGATAAAACTGCAGCTAAAAATATAGACAGAGGACGTGCCCTGGTCACAGGGCTTTGACATGGAAGGAAGATAAATTCTCTCGATATCATAATGCATCCCAGAGGAGCAAATTAAAGCCCACGAAGAGCCTGTATCACAGCTATCAGCACAGAGGTGGCAGACCTGCAGGAATCAGCTTCTCTCCCACAGGGATGGCTCTAAAGGTCACCAGCATAGTTTCATTTCAGAGATGCCCGCTGTGCAGAGCTGCCAGCCCCAGGCAACACGTGGGATGCCCAGCACAATCCAGTGTCTGCAGGAGCTCAGCACCATCCTCACATCCCCTGACAACACAGCACTCCATCGTGGTCACCGGAGCTTTTCCCTCCCCCCCCCAGCACAATCTGTACAGCCAACTGATTTCTTTCTGGAAATCAATTCCTTGCTCAGCAGAGCGCAGCAGGAGGGGCTGCAGGTCAGGCTCTCACACCGACGCTCTCTGATGCTGAGGAACTTTTCCAGTCGCACGCAGTACGAGGGCTGGAGGTGGGACAGGCAGCACGGCGCGGTTCTGAGACCAGCAGCACCAGCAGTGCCAGCACACGGCCCAGCGCTCACCCGTCCCAGCACGGTGGGGAGGAAACGTACAGACCTCCCTGATGAAGCAGGGCTAAAATTAGAAACCATTCACCCCTGAAAAGCCACAGCTATCGCCAAAAGGAAAGTAGGTCACAGAACGGCTGGCTAACTCGATTTTCCGGCGTTCCTAGCTGCTCTGTCCTCACATAACCTCCTCTCCCCCGTGCACGGCTCTCGCTCCCTCCTTCGTGCTGCACTCAGCACAGGGCTGGGAACAGGTCGGCACCCTGCGCCAGGCAGCAACTCAGCTCCAAAGGTGTGGAACCAGGGCCCTTCTGCTGCTCCGACCAAGAGAGCTGCCCAGCTGAGAGCTGAGGCTGCCCCACAGGGGACAGCAACACCTGAGTCCCACATGTGCTCCCGCAGCAATGCCACAAGCTGCGCTGCCTGCACTGCTCCGCACGGCCACCCACCAGCCCACACCACGAGCTGCAGGCAGGACAAGGACACAGCAGGGCCTCTGCTTGCTCTGCAGCCATGAACAGATCGTGCCTTCCCCAAAGGAGGAACTCTGCCGCCACCCGCTGTGGTTTCTGCCAGGCAGAAGGGAAGGGCTGCTCGGCCTGAGCCCGCTGCCCACAGACAGCTTGCTGACACGCTGCTCTCAGCAGGAGGAATCTTCACTCATCCAGAGACCACACAGAGAGGTGGAAGGGATTCAGAGAGACAAGAGGGCAAGCACGGCCCTGCTGCTGGGCAGGACCGAGCAGAGGGGATGCAGTAAGACATGGGCCCAGCAGGATTGTGCTCTGAGCCAGCTCCTGCTAACAGCAACTGCTGCAATGCAGCTCGTCAGAGATGCAGCCTCTGAAGATCACCTTTCCTTCCCTGCCTCACCAACACCTGCTTCTTCCCCACATCATGTGGATCAGGTCCACGACAGCATCCAGGGAGGATGAGGTCAATGGAATAAGAATGAAAACATCTGAGGTCTCCTTTTGTGAACCCAACCCTCGCATGGCAGTCAGAAGCTGCCTAGCCCAAGGCTCCCGGGCAGGATGCCTGGCCATGCTGTGGAGCAGAAGGGCTCCAAGGCCCGGCTCTGCAGGGCCAGCCCAGCTCTGCTGTGCACTCACACCTGAATCGTGCTGCCCTCAGCTTGCTTCCTATTGCTAACGGAGAGAGGCAGACGGGAAAAGTAGAACCAGGGAAATGGCAATGCCTGTGAGCACAGAGTATGTGATTTATTTTTCTTTTCTTTTAGCATCAGGCACCTGGATTTCTGCAGCTCCCAGTGAAATCTCAGGCTTCGCAATTCAAAATAATTAGCGACTGGTAGTTTTCCTTTTATGCAAAATCATCCTTTTTATCCAACACCTAAATGAAAATGAATGTGCTTGATTATCTTCCAAAGGGCCCGATTTTCCAGCATCCCTCCAAAGCACACAGCAAAATCTCGTCAGGCTGCTATTGCAGGCAATGGCTGAGCACAACAAATGAGCGGTCAAGGCAGAGATCCAAACGCAGTGATGCCAGCATGACCTCTGCTAATGCCATTTCCAGCATCAAATACCCACAAATGCATGTCCTTTCTGCGCCAGCCCCATGGCCCAAGGGCAGCCAGGAGGGCTGCCAGTATTGGAGCAGCACGGACGTCCCCCTCCACCTGTACAGCCCACCAAGCCAAAGCCCATCATTAAAGGTAATTTTCCACCAGGTTCACTCCAGGGGAGAAGGTAAAGCAAGCTGTTTAACAGGCAGGGCTCCAATGCTTCCAATCTAACACATACTGCAGGAAACCCTACAAAAGCAGGTTCTCTCATGGCACTTAATCCACAGAGCAGAGAGAGCTTCCCAGGGCTCAGCCCTCCATCTCTAGACAGAGCTTAGTCCATCACATCTGCCCACAGCCTTCACCAAGGAACTCGCCCCGGGCAATCCCCATCTCCCCACACCAGACCCTCCCAGCCCAGGCCAGGATGACACAGCACAACCACACATTTGAATTTCCATCGTTTCCAGACTCACCCTGTTCTCGTCGTAGATGATCTGCACCAAGCTGCGATGTTTGGATTCGATAGGAGGGGGGGAGATGGGTTTTTCAGGCTCTGGTGGTTTGGCTGCTTCTTCCTCCAACTGTTGCTGTGGAAGGAAAGGGGGGAGGAGAGTGAGTCACAGCGAGAAACACTGCCATCCCCGTCCACATGAGACTCTCTGCGGTACCATGACCAACACAGAAAGCTTACTGGGAGCCACCATGGGCAACTTTAGAGACAGGGAGAGGGAGGAGAGCTGCTGACAGATGCACAATGCTGTCCTAGCCCTGGCAACCTGTCCTTGACCGTGGACAACAGGACCAGCCTTGAGCAGGTCTCCTGGAGAGCCTTGTGGCTGGGAATCACGGCTTTATTAGAAACCCTAGAAGGGAACCACAGCTCCTGCCTGCCTTTGGAGCTGCCACCTGCAAGGGGAGCAATGAAAGAACAAGAGATGGAGCAAGGCTGCTCTCCATCACAGGTTTTATCTTCTGATGCTGTACCTGGAGGAGATGCCCTGAGATGACTGGTCTCTATAGAATATTCATCCAGAGCTTCGCTCTAGCTGAGAGCAACACTTGGGCTGTAGGATACAGTCCAAGAAAACACTTAAGCAACAGCTCAAAGCTGCCAACAACCATCAGCCCCCCTGGCACCCTCCGTGCCTTCACTGCTCCCGCACCACAGTGCTCTCAGGTTGCTGAGGGCACCCCATCACACCCTGCTCCTGAACCAGGAGCTCTGAGCACTCGGAAGGGATTCCCACAGAGGCATTCGTCAATCCTCCCCTCCTCTGGGGGAAAATATTTGGGTAAAAATGCCCAAAACTTGGCTGCATTGTTCTAGAAACCCACAAAAATCCTGCAAAGCGGTCGGGTCTACTGTAATTGATTTCAGACAAGAGGATTTGATGGCATATCAGGAAATGAAAGTTTGCCAGTAAGTGGAGGCTCATTAAAAGCAGCTCGTTAAGAGGAAAAAATACAAATCTAATTATAGCTGAAATACAGTAGAGAATTAGACTGCTCTCTGTGGTGTAACATGGTACAGTTATTAAAGGGCCAGGTGCTGGAGGCTATAGATGCGGGCACTCTGTGGGCACCAGCACCCCCTGGAAGAGCAAACCTGACCTCAGCAGGTCCAGCACACTACAGCTACCCCTGGGAGCTGTGGGAAATGGCAAAGCGAAATAGGTCAAGGTTCTCAGACACGAACAAAATGGATTTCTTAAAGGTCTGCCACAAAAGCTAGGCTGGAACTGTGACCTTTACAGGGAGAGAAGAGGGATGGGAAATGAGACCTGACAGCTCCACACTCACTCCCTCCCTACCCTCAGTGGTAACTGCCCCGAAGTTTCCTCCTCTGCCCAAAACCCAGAGCAGCAAAAACAAAGGGACACAAAACGTCATCATTAGCTGTGCACAAACATGCACCCAGCATGGCAAGGCAGAGTGGGCACTGCGATGCTTCCCTAACGCAGCAGGGAGGAAAGGGCTTCCAGCCACCGTGTGTAACTGCAAACTACCTCCAAAGAGCCCGTGGGAGAGCTGGTGGGAACCCTGCCGGACACCGAAGCCCCTCAGCTCCCCAACCCAGCAGGGCTGCAGGGCTCAGCTGCACCTCCATCACCAGGTGGGAGTGTTGTACTCCAGCAGCCCTCAGCAGAGCTCAGCTCCATGGAGCCGCAGGCACCGCTGCGAAGAAAAGCCCGGCAGTTTATTTCTTGTTAAGATCCCCAGTACTGCTGCCAGGAATAAATGCATAGAGATTATCTTTCCCTGTCAGAAAGAGGGGGAGAACAAACTCAATGAGAGATTGAAGCACATATGGCACATGAATGAGCAGGGGATGGCTGATGAGAGCAGCCTTCTGCCAGGGGTGCACAGGATTTGGGGAGGGTTTCTCAGCTTGCTCAAGCCTTGTCCTTCTTGAAACCCCTCCTGTTTGCAATGCTGGGCAGAGCCTTCACTGCCATTTTTGGAACAACTGAGCAGAGAGGGATGGTGGGGTGTTGTATTTTTTTTCTGCGCTGCCTTTCCTTACAAGTGCATTTAATTACCCTGAGAAGGCCTCCCAAAGACAGAGGGGAAACGCATTAGGAAATTACAGCTGTGCACAATCTCTCCCCTGCTCTGGGAGGAGTGGGATCTGTTACAGGCTGATCACTTCCCCTCCCTCGCTTTCCTCCAGCACTGACAGCTCAGATGTGCAGACGGACAAAGCGGTCCTGCAGAACCTCAGGCAGGACCCCCTGCCTGGCACCACACTCTCCTGGGGAGCAGACAGCAGCCACACTGTGCAGGCATTTGCACTGGGTGTACCAAATGGGTTTGCTACCATATGCCAAAATAAAAAAGTGGAGGGGATGACTGCCAGCAACCACTTTCACCTTCTTCTCCACTCATCAGAGCGTTTTTGTGGGGAGGAAGAATTGTAAAACTTGTTCAGAGGGAAGAAATCAACCAAGCAAGCAGCCAACAATAAAAATCTATTTCCTTATGGAAGGACAGTTTGACTTTAATGGCGAGAAGCATATGCTGCTCCCATCAGCTTCAACAGCAGCTCATCAGCATCTCTGAAATAAGCTTGAGAACCTGCAGGTACCGGGCCATGGGCTGCTGCCACACTAAGCATGTTGCCCTCCCTGGAAGCCCCTCACATCACCAGCAATGGGAAATGATCAATTTGCATGTCCTTCCTCAACATGCGTTGGAAGCATAGACCATGGTCCTCTCTGCTCCCACTGCCCCAGCACATCCTCAAGGAGGTGCACTGATCCCCATTTCCCACACAGTGTGACAGCCCGAGCACACATTCACCCCATTCAGCAATTCTTTTCACGAGCATCTCTGGAGAGGCAGTTTGGGATTAGCAGCCATCAGGAGACCAGAAATTTGCCATAAGCAAAGGGAAAAACCACTGGCAAGAGAGACACAGAAGTGATTTGCTTTAGGAAGTGAAAGCTCTTAAGTCTGTGGGTTTTTCACAGGCATCCCCCAAGGTTTTGTCATATTAATCTCTTAATGGGTTTATGGTAATTGTATACATGGCTACAATAAGGCAGGTAATCCTTCAGCTGGGGCATGCTCTCATGGAGGGGAAGGCAGACCACACAAGACTGTCAGCACAGCAGCCATGCCCCACACCATGGCAAGAACATGGCTGCAGCCCACCCTGTGGGAAAGGCACTGCCACTTCCCCTCTGTGGACATACACGGGAAGGGACAGGGAATCAGCCAGCAAGCAGAAGCACAGACATGAGCTGCCCTGCAGAGCCCAGCCTCCTACCTGCTTCTTCTTCAGCTTAGAGATCTGCTGCTCCACCATGGTGATCTCGCGGTCCACACGGTCCATGTTCTGGATGAGCTCCTCCTTGGACAGCCGGGCTGGCAGCAGGTCCAGCTCAGCCTCAGGGTGTGCAGGGCTGACAGGAGACACGGGCTCCAGCTTGCCAGGCAGGCCACGGTCCTGGGGAGCACAAAAGCTGCAGGTCAGCTGTGCTGGGAGGCTCAGGATCCTCCTCTCAGCCTCCCCATTCCCTCAGCCCTGGCCCATTCCCAGCCCTTTAAGACACACATCCCTCAGAGAACCTGCATGGCTAAGCAGTACCAGTTGCCATCAGCACCCTGTGCATGACCTTCAGCATTCCAAGATAGCACCAGGTTACTTTCCTGGACACCCTGCAGCACCATGTCCCATTCCTGGCACCTTCAGTGAGCCCACATTCCCATGGAACTGAACCCACCCACAATAGGGATCCTTTCAACCCCGTTAAAAACTTGGCAGAGTGAGGGGAGCCCGAGTGGCAGGTGACAAACACATCCTTCCAGAGATGAAGACCATGGGGATAGGTGAGGTCAGCTTAGATAAATGGAACTGATGGAAAATGGCTTTTTGCAGATTCCAGGTAAAGAAGCTCTCAGATGAACAGGAGCAGATGGAATGGCAAAACCTCTGTGGTCACTGCAGAGGGCAGCTCTCATTTCCCTTTGCTCCCAGCAAACACAGGAGCACTCAGCCCCTGCTCCAGCAAAGTGACACCCTTGCTGATAGCAACGTGCCAGTACTCCCTGAGCATCCCAGAGCCACAGCATCTCTTCTGCACATTACCCTTCATCCCTCAAATTCCCAATTATCCAGAAGCCCAACTCCTGCAAACACGACCTGCGTGCTCAGGTGGGCTCACATAGCACTGATAAAAACAAGGCTCAAGGGGAGCCAGCACAACCATGGGATCACGCTCCCAGCTGGCAGCCGCCCAGTACCTCAATTAGAGGCTTATTGTTCATTTGCTCATAGTGAGTGGATGGATTTTTTTTTTTCCCCTGGGGGGCAGGAGGTGAGGAAGAGGAGCTGCAATTGGGTCCATAACCTTAAACCACAATCAGGCTGCACACAGCACCCTGCAGCTGCTCCGAGGGGAGGGACAGGGAAAGCAAACAAGTGAAGAAGTTTGCGCAGCCTCACTACCTCAGACCCAGCACAGGGACAAAGCCCACATTGTTCTGCACCTCCTGACCACGGCTGCAGGCTGCATACCCAGCCCAGCCTGGCTGGCCCTTGTGCAGGAGGAAGACACGATGCCCTCGGTGACACCAAGATGGCAGAGAGCCCTGTGTGCTCCCCAGCTGGAGTCCTACAGACCAGATTCTGTCTTGCTTTACTTCCTCAGGATCAGATAGCAAACCTGGTTGCTCTGCTGCAGCAGGAAGGTGAAGCTGAGTGTCTTTTCTACAGGTGGGCTGTCGGCTGTTCTGTTCCATTTTAAGTCAATACCAGCAGGACAGCCACAAGAAGCAAAAGACAAATGAGCTGCTTGTATAATCTAGTTCAAATTAGGGAATAGGAACAGAAAGCAGCCGTGGCTTGGAGCTAGATGCATTTTTCTAAAGGACAGAAGGCTGCCTGCCAAAAACAGAGAGAAAGGCTTCTCACTGGGCACAGCAAACAAAAGGTGCTCTCTCATCCCTGCCAATGCACAAGACAGGGCATCTTTACACTGCTGCTTGGCATAACCCCTTTAGAAACCTGCTTTCTGATAAATAGGTATCATTTTACACTGCAGAGCCTGTAGCGAAATAGTAGCAAAGCTGAGTAAGGCAAACAATTGCAAGTTACAGCACAGAAGCCATCATCATCATTCATTATGAGATGATGATAGCAATAAATAAAGGCAATGTCCCCAGACCTCAAGTAACTGGTCACTGTCACTTCACAAGCACCTCTCCAAATAAAGGAAGAGAGGAGCAGCAGAGAAAGGAAAACACAAAACTGAAGGTAAAAAAAATCTCACCCATGCAATTGCAGAGCCCAAAGCACAGAGCTGTGACTCACACAAGGCAAGGAGAAGCCCTTCTTCTGCATCACAGAGCTGTCAGAGGAGAGATCTGTGAGGAGCTGGGCTCACGCCAGCCCCACAGTGGGCTCTGGGAGCAGGTTGGGTCCCAGCAGGTGGCACCGCATGGGTCCTATTGTGGGGCTCCCTGTGAGAAGGGAACCTTCTCTTCCTCAGGGCACAGTGGCACAGATTCTGGGGCAAGCCAGAAAAGAGAAGAGGTTTGAGCCCATCACGCAGGGCTCGCTGCCTGCTGTGAAGCCTCTGCCGCCCAGGGTGGCAGGAGGAAAGCTGGGGAACCCAAATGGCTTCAGCACAGCTGGCTGGCACGGTGCAAACCGGAGCTGCGCAAGGAGTGGCCCAGGGTATCCCATGGCAGGGCCGGATGTGATGTGCTCGCACTGCTGCTGCTCTGCTTCCCTGCTCCAAACGTCCCCCAGCAATGCCAGCACTTCAGACAGCATCGCACCCACGCTCTAAACATGTGCAGTGTGAAACATAAAATTCTTCTTATTAACGTGAAGTCACAAGACTCTGAAACCAGCACGAGCCAGGAGAGCTGGAATAGATCTGCTGGAGGAAAGAAAGCAATTACTGCATTACTCAAGTTGATATTTTCTCAGTAATTATACTGTTTCCATGCGATTTGTTTTTATACATGGCTAACAGCTACTGTAGTTCCTGTTTATCCCCGGCCTTATTATGATGTGATTTGTATGATAACAAGGGTGGGTGAGGGGGGGGCAGGCACTGCTGCAAGAGGAGAGCTGGCGCTGAAGAAAACAGTGGGGCAGAGACCCAAAGAAGGAACGGCCTCCCCTGGCAGCAGCCCAGCACGTGCTCAGGGAATTCAGGGCACTGGAGAAGGAGGAGCTGCCTGAAGACAAAGTCTTTTTTTTTTTTTTTTTTTTTTTTAATGTTTTGTTGTTTTTTCTTCTCTTTAAATAAATATGACTTTATGAGAAGGCGTACAAAATTCCTTTCCCCTGTAACTCAGCTGAATTCCACCGAGCCAGGGCAGAAAATATCCCAACGATTCTGAAGCTCTCACGAAAGTAGGTCAAAAAACTTCCCCAGTGTTTCAACAGCTTGAAGCAATTGAGTTGCAAAAGCAAGAACAAATGCTGGCCCTCCCTCCCCACCCCTCCAGCAGATTTTGGAGGGCGTAAAACCTCTCCAGTTGGTGTTACAGTTACACGCACTAACCAAAGCACAGTATCTGCTCTTGCAAAACTTGTCTGGGCTCAAAAAAAGCCATTCTGCAGCGACACGTAACAGATACTGCCTGCGGGCTGCAGGATCACAGGACATTACGGCAGTGTGCCTTGGGCATGGAGAGGCTGCGAGGAGCAGGGCAGACCTGGAAAGCCTTGCTCTGCCAGGGCTGACCAAAGCGCGAGGCGCTGCACCGACAGATGGATGCTGTGCCTTCCGTTGCTGCCTGGCATTTCCATGTTAGTGGATAATAATTGGGCTGAACAGGGGACAAGGTGGGGTTTGGCTCCTTGCTTTCCAAAATACAGCACCAATGCAAACCCGTACACGGGAAAAGTCCCGTGGATGAAGCCTTGCAGCAATAGAAAACTCCCATGGAAACCCAGAGCCACCCCACCTCCTGCACACAGAGCCCAGCCCGACGAGCACACATCCGATTGTGAAGGCAAAGGAGCGGCAGCCCAGCGCACCACGGCACGGCAGGGAACGGAAGCACGAGGGGATGTGTGAGCCCCGGGCTGCTCCTGCAGCACTGCGGGCTGCGAAACCGCCTCCAATCACACCCAGCACCCACAGCCAGGCTCACTGCCACCCTGCTTCCACAGAACCGGCTTCACAGGAACTGCTCGGCAACGCCTGCCACAGACTTCCTTGGAAGCGGGACGCGATGACACAGCCCTGTGCGGCTGTCACCCGGAGGACAACGCAGGGGAAGATGCACCTCCGGCTTCTTTTTGCAGCAGCAGCCACCCTCACTGCTCCACCACACACAGTGCAGCACACAGCACACAGCCATCGGGGTCAGCCTCAATCCCTGCAGGTACATGCCCTCTGATGCAGTTTTGGGGTGCTGGTACAGCCACTGGAAACCTGCTGTGTCCTCACCAGTCCTCAGGATGCTAAGAGAAGCCCTCGAGCCCTGTACACCACACCAGAGCTCACCTCTTCTAAGAAGGGCTTTGCCAAATTCCCTGCTACTACAATCCTCCGCTCAGCACGGATGCCATCCCACAAAGCGCATTGCTGTGCATTACTCCTGCCAGGCAACCGTGTCCTCTTAAAACTGCCCTCCAGAAGGCACTGAACAAAACACATACTCCTCACACCACCGGGCACAGCAGCTCCAGCCACCAAGCACACAGGCAACACGCTGGAAGGCCGTGCGGGGCCGTGTGCTGCAGCACGGGGCTGGACGGTGCGCTGGGCTCAGTCGTGCCCGTGCTGCCTGCAGGAGCCGGGATGCAAAGCACCGCGGGGATGGCTCTGCTCGTCCTCCTCGCTGCGCTCGGGATGCTCCCGGCTCAGAGGGCAGCGGGCCACCAGGTGCAGCCTCCAGCCCGGGGATGGCAAACCCACCGTGCCAGCATCTGGAAACAGCGCTTATTGAAAAGTAAAAAACCGAGGGGAAATGAGAAGACAAAAGCCCTTCTCAGCCCGGTGTTATCAAGCAGAGGAAATGAGACTTCTAAAGCTCCCATTCAGAGAGGAGTGGGGGGGAGAGAAATCCCACTCCAGACGCACTTGAGCGAACAGCTTTTGAAATGGAAATGTCGCTCTTCAGAAACATTTAAATTTCCTCCTATTGCCGGGGAGGAGGAAGGACGCAGGAGAGCGAGCAGGGACTCCTCAGCCATGCAAATTCCTGCGGGGTCCATTCAGCAGCAGAGCAGGGATTTGTCGAGGAGTTAATCAGGGCGGCACACGGCGCTGCCGTCGGGAAGCTGCCTTGAAGGGCATCCGATTTAGAGAGACGGGAATGAATGAATGAAGACAGCTCTATTTAATCACTGCAAGTGAGATATACTTCAAGGCTGCCCGGCTCGTGCTCCCTTCCTCCTTTCTCCCCAGTGCAACGACCGCCCAAGCTGTCTTACTCCAGATGCAGGAGACCGGGCTGCTCAGGAGACAGAAACGTCGT